TATTTTTGTTGCTCTACTAAATCTGTAAGTAGAATGCGACTTCCAAAAATGGAAGAAATCTTTGGATGTGGTTTGAAAGACTAATTATTTTTTAAAATATAACCCATTTTAAAGACATATGATATCCTAAATAGTCTATTAGGGAAAGACATTTAAGTATATAGGAAGATTCCTTCTTTGGAAACCAGGTGAGATGCTGAAAATTTTTGACCAAATGATGTTACTATTCAAAGTAATCATCAGTAGTATTTAGAGATATAATTACAGAACTATTATACTACTTTGAAGATTTTGTAATATTGGGATGAAAGTGTTTTGTTGTTGTTGTTAACAAAATAATTCTTAGAGCTTGCTTTATGGCAGACAAGAAAGAAATACTATACCTCTTAGGTAAGCCAGTCTTCTGCAGAAAATAGTATATATTCTAAGGGATTTATGTAATTTTCCTTAATTCTGTGATTAAAAATTTAGGTTATATAATTTTGAAATGAAACTATCTGATAGATCCTACCAGGAAGAAAAGTGAACATAATATCAGGTTAAAAACAAAAAGTAACAAAATTGCTAGTTCTATAAATATACTGCCTAACATTTAGGATATTAAAGTAAAATTAAAATAAAACTAATTGTTAGTGTTTAGATTTATTAACTTTAAAGTTAGAAATAATGCCTATTTACTATAGAAAGTTTAGAAAATATGAACAAAAAGAAAAAATAAAACATATTTACATTCTGTACCTAAAGGTAACCGTTTCCGCCTCTCTTCTTAGACCTCATTTCCTTCCCCCATGCTCAGCTAATAATCTTGCTTCCTAATTCATGGAGAACACGGAAGCCATCCATCAAGACAGCCTCTGCAAGTTCCCCTCACCATTTCTACTCACCTCCCTGTGTCGATGCCTGTTGACCTTCTTTCCTGTTACTGTGAAGAAATGTCTATGTTTCTAGCTGAGACCAGCTCCTTCAAATCGTCCACTAGAACTTATCTCCTCTCGCTCACTCCCTTAAATTCTCCCTCTCTTTCCCGCATCATTCATTGTTCCCTCTCTGCTGGATCATTCCCATTAGCGTCTAAACCTCATGTTACTTCTCTCTTCTGACAAGGTTGAGAGAGGGACGGTTCTTAACTTCCGTTTCCGTTTAGCTATCACCCTGCTACTCTCCTTCCCTCTTAGAGCAAATCACCCTTTCTTGTTTTTTCATTCTCTTCTCTCCTGAGTCTGGCCTCATCTGGTTTTCTCCTTGACAGCTCTGCAGATTGTTTTTATCAGATTTACCATCTACCACAACATTGCTAAGTCCACTAACATTTTACTTATTTACTGAGTTCCTTGTGTGCCCCACTAGGATGTCAGTTTCGGGAGGGCAGGCATTTGTCATATTTCACTAACTGCTGGAGAAGTGTTTACAATTAGTTGAATGAAGAATGAATGTACTAATTCTTATACTAGGAGGCTAAAGATGTAAAAAGAATGAGAGAGTCTTTACAGTACAGATTTATAGTCTAATGAAGAAGAAAAGTAGCCATTAATTACAGTTCATTTGATATGTGTTATATATAGAGTGGTGCACCATGTTCGTGGAATTGCAGAGAAAGGCTGGCTAAAAAATTGGGAAATAAAATTAGGGAAGTGTTTCTGGAATAGGAAATCTGAGTTGAGTCTTAAAGAATGTAGAAGAGTTTATTAGAAGCAAGAGGAAAGGGCATATGAGAAAGCAGAATAATAAATAGCATCATTCCTTTGACCAGTGAGTTTACTCCTGGGACTGTATTTGAGGAAATAACCTAGAATGACTATTGCTAATAAAACAAGCAAAGCAAGCAAACAAAAATAAAACCACATTAAAGAGTTCTTTGAAGTAGTATTTATAATGTCACAATTATATTGGAAATACCCTAAATGTCCATGAAAAGAGAGACAGACCATCCACATATATTTTAGGATTTTAATGACACTGAAATTATGTATTTTCTAATATCAAGTGGAAAAATGGCTTTAAAAATTATGTCCATGGTGGGGCCGGCCCAGTGGCATAGCAGTTAAGTGCGCGCTCTGCTGCAGTGGCCTGGGCTTCACAGGTCCTGGGCATGTACCAACACACCTCTTGTCAAGCCATGCTGTGGCGGCATCCCATGTAAAGTGGAGGAAGATGGGCACGGATGTTAGCCCAGGGCCAGTCTTCCTCAGCAAAAACGAGGAGGATTGGCATCGAATGTTAGCTCAGGGCTAATCTTTCTCACCAAAAAAAAAAAAAAAAATTATATCCATGGGGCAAGCCCATGCCTAAGTGATTAAAGTTCTGCGTGCTCTGCTTCGGCAGCCCGGCTTCACAGGTTCAAAGCCCAGGCACACAGATCCCAGGCGCAAGTATTTCTTCCTAGGCAGGCATTATGTACTTAACACCACATTTCTCCTCCCTAAACCCAAAAGCACCAAGATACTGTTTGAAGTAAAGCTTGGTGTCTGAGAGAGTAGTGTATCAATATAATTGTTCTGTAGATGTTCATTGCAACCTTGAATTATGTTTCATGAAAGTGAAAATTGGAAGTAACAGTTCTTTAACAATTTTTATTAGGTTTGAGTGGAAAGAATTTATGCTTATAATAATGCACATACATTTTTTCAAATCTTATTTACTTAGGTAAATTAAAGATTTAAGTTTTATACTTTGAACTATGGATTATTCTTAAATGTAACCATGTATGCTTATGCTTTCAACTTTGAGCTTTGCAATGCACTATGCCTTTAAAGATACTAGGAACTTTCAAATTTTAAAGATTTTATTGCTGTTAAGAGAAGAGAGTACACTATGAAGGCAGTATGCATAATTTGGCAGTAGTTATGCTGGGTAGCTTCAATATACTACATTCTGTGTCTTTTATTGGAAGGAAAATAATGGCTTAAGAGCATAGAGATGCCAGTTTGGAATTGTCGGTAAATATCTGTCCTTGTTGTCATGTGCAGTTGGAAATGAGAATTTTAAATGGAAAAGGGTGAAGAAACGATACAGTTTTGAATTAGATATCCCCAAAAGATTTACTTTCTCAGTGAGCTTAAGATATATCAGTAAAGGTGGGAATTGTGTGTTCTTTTCTGAGAGTTTTATTGGCAATACTAAGTTGTCTTCTACTTTAGCATAAAGTAAATGTCAAAACTGATAAGGTCAGTGAACGATGTAACTTCAAAAAATGACTCATGCGTATACTATGTGCATTGGTTGCAGGGGTGAGGAGGGATCAGATTTAGTATTTACTTAGTACATAACCAGAGCATAAAATTTCTTAGTGTTTGACTAAAGTATGTTATGGTTAGCACTGTGTTAAATAAAGTAATTATTGTATTTATAGTTATGCTTTAGTCATTAGTTTTCTTAAATAGGAAAATGTAAAAAAAAAAAATACTTGAGCAGAATATTATATAAAATTGTTTGTAAATATCTGGTTTTTTTTTTTGTTTTCAGCTTCCAGAAATGTTGCATGGTGATGGTGACAATGAAGAACATGGCTTTTGTCCAGTGGGTCAGTTCATTCTTCAGAATTTAGGATTGCTGTTTGGATTTGCCATCATGCTAGTGATTGCCCTTTATGAAGACAAAATTGTGTTTGACCTCCAGTTTTGACCATTCCCAGTAATCACTGTTGGTTACGAGAATGTTACCATGCGGCTTTGCATCTGTTTCTTGTACTGTATGCACATTGCTCAAAGAAAAGTCAGTGGCTTGCACTACTTACAAGTTCCATAGATTTGAGCCTAACCACGAACGACTGGTGCTCAGTACTGTTTTCCCTGCGTGAAGGGGTCTTTTAAAACATAAAGCTTGTGATAAAGAAAGGAGGAAATGGGACTCCATGAACCAAGGTTGATATACAGGTTGGATTAAGACTTTTTAAAAAAATAATCATATAAAACACTAAAGTAGTCTCTTTATTAGTAGAAACCTCTGTGGCTATGCAGAAATAGAAATTGAACCAAAAAATCACTTAAACTTTAAAAATATTTTACATGGGCTTTGGGCAGACTTTTCTTTGTGCTAAAAGTGAGTTTCAGTGTCCTGTAATTCAGCTCCATAGATACACATGATGATAGGGATCAACTTGACACAGCTTTGAAACCGCGTAAAGTAGACTGTAGGAACTAGAGGAGAGCTCAGGCTTCGGTAGAGTATGAATTTAGCATTGGGAAAAGCCCTTATTCTTGAATCTAGAGTTACTATTTTTGTATATATTTGCATAGTGTTTAAACTCGCAGCCTAAACTACTGAAATTTGTGACTCTATGTTTGTGTGAGCTTCAGTTTAATGAGAGATTCATAATGGTTCTTTGTATTAATATACTTGGTGTTTGGGTTTTCTATTTTTTTTCCAAATTTTAATTTTGTTTTTGTTTTGAGTTTTTTGGTGTGGGTAGCGGGTTGGAGCATGTGGTAAAATCTTTTTTCGCTAAAATTGTAACCCTCTAGAAATATCAGAGATGAAGAACCCAAACAAACATGGTCTAAATATTCAGTTTTCCTACCTTAACAGTACTAGCTAGTTATTTGGGAAATTTAGGTTCTAAATGTATGCATTGCTTTACCAGTTTGGCACTGGAACCAAGAGCGCATGCTGTGACTGGCAGTCAGGTGGTAAGACAGAAAATCCAAGTTTACCACGTCCTAACCTGTGCATGACGTGTCAGAGCAGTTACTAAGATGATCTCTGATGATGCCGTGGCTATTGTGGTGCCAGGTGACTTGGAAGATAGATTTAAATAACTCAGCTGAGATCACTTGATCATTTTGTGCCAAGATATGCTGTTGGTGCCTGATAGCGATGAGTCTCTTTTTTAGGTGCCCTGGTCTCCTACCATAATTGTGAATGATTTGTGAGAAGTGCAAGCCATGTTTATCCTGAATTTCGACCTAATAATTTGTCGTACTAGTCATATGCATGTAGGTTTCTGTTTACATCTTGTGCCACATGATCTTCATTTACGCCAGGTAAACTGTATTTGAACTCTGTGCAGGCAGCTTTGTTTTCATCTGCTTGGCTACCAATGTAGCTGCTTTTAAAAATCTTAGTCTTCAAATATTTAAGAGCCAAACTCTTCCCATTCCATTTAAAATGTTTCATTTAGTCCTCCACCTTTCCCCCAGTTCCTTTCCTCTTACTCCATGAACTTGAAAACAAAAAGCAAACCTTTGAGAGCAGTACATGCATCCAGGTGTTAACCGAGCATTGCCAGTGTTTCTTCTTTATGCTGTAAGCAAGGGAGCCGAGGTGCTGTTTCCTTAATTTATGCCTGAATTCGAAAAATTATTTCTGGCTTTCTGCATGGCCTCCTGTGACAAGTAGGAGTTTTATACAGAGATTGTTTTCAGCATTGGGCACTGAATTAGGACAGTCCTCATCTCATTGCATGGCCCTTCAAGCAGCCTAGATAAAGGTGCTGATGTTTTATTTAGTACTGCCAACTTCAAGGGATTCAGATATCTTGCTTTCTGAACCAAGATTTATTTATAGTTTATTTTTGGGTTTTTATACCCAAGGAGGATTCTGCATTCCAGCATTAAATCTGCTTGATTTTAAAACTTTTATGAAAAGCAACAGCTGGAATATACTCCCAGTCTTAAGATAAATGCCTGATGTAAAGCAAATAGGTTATGTTGAAGTATATAAAGTTTTATATTCTCTCAAAAGTGGTATTATCTTGATTTGCTAGATTTTTTAAACCTTTGAAGAGGGCTGTAACAGTTGCTGCTAGTATTTTGTTAGGGTTCCACCAGTATTTAGTTTTCACATCATTCTAATGTATAGTTTCAAGTCTTACTAGACAATCTGAATTCCACTACATTTCTGTTTGGCTCCAACATTCCATTTAGCTTGCCAGTCTAATTTAACATGTGTTTGTTGGAGGTCATTAACGTTACTTGTACAATGCTGTCACTGTGTGACATCCATATGAATTTTGGTGTATATCACATTGCATTCAATCAGCCGTGATTATGCTTAGAAATACTATAGTAACTAGATGCAGTGTGAACTTTTTCCATTAACAGTAAGTCAGTGGCTTAAATGTGATTATGGTCCTGCAAGGTGATACTTGCTAAAATATCTAAACTTTTTTTGTTATAACAACTGAATCATTTTTTAAAAATTTATAAAGCTGGAAATGATCAAATGCTGTTTTTTTCATTGTCAACAGTGGTGTGTCATTTTCTGTATGTTCCTAATGCTTATGGAACTCTCCCAAAATAAAGTTATTCACAAAGTGCAAATATACCAGTGTGTTTTCCTCAGTCCAGTCTTTACTTCAGAACATTTCCTTATGCCAAAGTATGAATCATTTAAAATATAGGATGCATTTGCACATAAATTTATAGTTAAGTATAACTTTAGTCAAATTGATTTAAACCAAATAAATTGTTTAAAAAATAAAATAATATATTTTCTACTCAACCATCTAATAAGAAACAGGAACAGGGAAACGACATCTGATTATGAATTAAGTTGACATAACAGTGCTACACCCCGTCCAATCCAGTGCTCCTTGGGTTGGTCAGAGGGGAGGGTCATGGCAATAACGAAGTTGGTAGAATGCCCCGTGGTGGATAAGGTTCCTCTCCGCTCGCTTGTCTTATACAACGGAGCAACGTAGCTTGGTCGTTCTGGAATATCTATCCTCTTACAGGGTTTTAGCCACATCTGGAAGGAAGTGTATAAAACTTCTGTAAGTCAAAGTTGTTATATTTACATATATTTGAGCCTAATATGGTATTGTCCAAGTTATGTCTGAAAATTTCTGTGGCCCAAATAGATTTTATTTTTGTCAGCAGTGCTACCATTGCTCAAAACATTTTTTTAGAGCTCTCAGGACTATCCTCAGAACCAGTTTAGAAGCTAAATGAGAAAAAAATAGTCATTTTCACCTATTCTGTCAAGAAACATATTACCCATTTATTCATCACCTCTCCACTGTACTTATCTGGGGATGACTTTTGGTGCTTACAATAACAAAAAAATCAGATATACTTTCAAAGGAGAGAGCTGCCACCCTGATACTCACAATCATGTTGCCTTATTAATTAAAGGCCAAGCCCCCAAAATTCTGAAAGGATTTTTCTCAATGACTGTAGAACTAGATAACCCCTCCCATCTTTGGTGACTCTTTTCAAGGGGCTATTATGTATATTGTGCTCTTTGAAATATAGCTGCATTCCTTTCTGACTGCAAGAGACCCACATTATTTTTAGAGAGTCATTAGCCAAGTTCCTAGAATGTTAACATTGTTGAACCTCACCAATCTCAAAAATAAGATTTGGGGGCAAGTTGATCTCTGAATATAAGAGTAAAGAACAAACTATGATCATAAAGATGAAATAATGTTTTGTTTTAGAATTTAATTGAATCCCTTTTTGCAGTAGTAATAATAGCAATCCTTGAGGTAATGTGGCTTGACAGCCCCACTGTTCAGAGCCATCTTTTAGGGTTCTTAGGTCAAAACACAAATTGTATGAAGAAGCTAATAAGGATGCTGGTCTCACTCCCACATAATTGTGGAATCCCGATTATTATAAGGAGGATCCATAAAGTGATTCTTCAGATAGAAATATAGGGACTCAAAACACTGAAGTTGAATATATTTCATTTCAACCAAGAATAGATTTTCTTTTTCTTTTTTTTTTCCTGCTGAGGAAGATTGGCCCTGAGCTAACATCTGTTGCCAATTTTCCTCATTTTTTGCTTGAGAAAGATTTGCCCTGAGCTAACATATGTGTCAATCTTCCTCTATTTTGTATGTGGGTCACCACCACAGCATGGCTGATGAGTGGTGTAGGTCCGCACTCAGGATCTGAACCTGCGACTCTGGCCCCCTGAAGCGGAGTGTGCCAAACTTAACCACCAGGCCAGCCACTGGGCCAGCCCCTAGAGTGGATTTTCTTAATGGGAATTTTGCTTGCTAAGTGACTTCCTTATTCAGGAGAATCATCCACTTATAAATTCCTTCTGCTATTCAAATACTGCAAGCTACTTAAGAGTTTGCATGTGAAAAAAAACAACTGATCCCAATCAACTCCTGAAATTGCAAATATTTGCTCTTGTGACTTTCTCTGCCCACAGTGTCTTAGTATATACGGCAGGATTTTTGCAGTTGGCTGTCTTCTGGTCCCTCACTGCCTGTTAGAGCTACTCTGAAGGATTTTTGCCTGTCTGAGCTGCTCTTTAGCATCCCACAAACAACTCACGTCAATCCACAGCCTGTATTTCATCACCAGCCCAGACCAACCTTTCAAACTGTGTGAAAATCTATCTAGCCATGATGCAATAACAGATGGAAACAACCTTTATGTAGCCTGGTCTGCCCATGCTGAAGATAGGTGCTGGGAAGCAACTTTTTATGCAGATGGTTTTCATATAGTAATGTTTTAATCTGCAAGTTTCAAATTTTTAGGTCAAGGTATATATAAGGAAAAAATATATAATAAACAGATATATGTATGTGTGTGTGTCTGGATAAATATATACAGTCTGTCCGCATTTTTCCTGGATTCTGTATTTGCAAATTTGCCTATCACTAAAATTTATTCGTAATCCTAAAATCAATACTCTGCGTTTTCATGGTCACTCACAGGCATGCTCAGAGCAGCAAAAACTGTGAGTCACCAGACAGGTTCCCAGCTGAGGTTGAACCCGGTGACATTCTGCCTTCTTGTTTCAGCTCTCATAACCGTAAAACAAGTATCCTTTTCATGGTTTATTTAATGCCAAGTTTTTCACATTTTTGTGTTTTTTTTTGGTGATTTTGCTGTTTAAAATGGCCCCCGAGTGTAGTGCTGAGGTGCTGTCTCGTGTTGCTAGGTGCAAGAAGGCTGTGATGTGTCTTATGGAGAAAATACCGTAAGCTTCATTCAGGCATGAGACAGGGCTGTTGGCCATGAGTTCAGTGTTAATGACTCAACAATATATATTAAATAAAGTATCTTTAAACAGAAGCACAAATAAAGCAAGGTTATGTATTGATCAGTTAACAAAAATGTGACCAGAGGGTCGCGGAAACAACCTTGTATTTCTCCTAGGAGCAATGGTTCAGTATTTACTAATTCAACGTTGGCAGCAACTTTATAAAACATAATTACCGTGAATAACAAGAATTGACTATATATGTGTGTGTGTGTGTATGTATATATAAAATAGCCCCCGGGTATACGTCATTAGAAAATACTAACCACAGGCACTGTATCATAAAGAATTTTGGGATGTGATTCTGCAAGTTTCTTGATCTTTCTGTTCCAGGAGGCTCCATCCAGAAATAATCCATGAATGAAAACACCTAAATATGAAAGAAGCACATTGTAAAACACTTGAAATATGGGTATTGATTGAGTTCTGAATCTGAAATTCCTACAGGTGAAAAGGCAAGTGATCCGATGTCAGCAGCCTCGGACTTGTTCTGAAACGAAAGCACCGGTCTGAGTGCTTTGTCTTAACACCCATATTTCCAGAACATCTATACTTTCCCTAGTCAATTAATTCAATAGTAAAATTAGATGTGGAAGACAAAAGAGGAAAAGAATTTTAAATTAGTCTGTGGGAAGTCGCAGTTTGGGTGAACACCATCAGATTTATATTTTTTGTGTTATTTTTTTTTTTTGGTTTGTGAGGAAGATTAGCCCTGAGCTAACATCCGATGCCAAGCCTCCTCTTTTTGCTGAGGAATATTGGCCCTGAGCTAACATCCATGCCCATCCTCTTCTACTTTATATGGGATGCCGCCACAGCATGGCTTGATAAGCGGTGCGTCAGTGCGCGCCCAGGATCCGAACCTGCAAACCCCGGGCCGCCGAAGCAGAGAGCGCTCACTTAACCACTTGTGCCACCGGGACAGCCCCTAGATTTATATTTTTAATCGGCCAATGATCATAATTTTGTCAGAGGCCAAGAAACCTGCAAGAAAATTTCTCAATGCACTTGTAGCGATTCAGTGGCTTCTAGGTAGCATGTGAAAAAAATACTCTTCTGCAGATCTCTGATGTCGTGAGAGTTAAGTTTCTCTTCTCCTTTTAGAATCTATTCTCACTCCAAGCCCTCTCCATAGTCTGTATGAGAGGACACATGGATGAAAACTTCCTCTAGAATGTGATGTCATACACTAACGGCTGAAGGAGAATGCAAATTAGGAAATCAATGAACTCCAGATGACTTTCTCTGGCTATCCACTTGTGTGAAGTCTCATGAATTGAATATAGGTATCTGCACAGAAAGACATTCCTTGTAACTGTTGCACAGATGTGAAGGCAAGCAATGTGGAAATTAGAGAGATCTAGGTTTTAGTTCCTAAATTGCTGTGTGACCTTGAGCAATTCATTTAACTTTAGACCTGTTTTGTCATCTGGAGAACAACTGGAAATCACTTGTAAAACAATAATGCCTGCTTTGTCTACCTTGTAGCATTGTTACAATCAAATCAGTCACTTGGTGAAAGCACTTGGTAAAGTAGTATCTAGAAGTCCACTTGGGCAGTGCTGTCCAGTAGGACTTTCTGCAATGATGGAAATATTCTACGTCTGTGCTTTCCAATATGGTCGCCACTGGCTATTAAACACCTGAAACACGGCTAGTGTGACCGAGTCATTGAATTTTACATTTTATTTAATTTTATAGTTAAATTTTAAAAGCCACATGTGGATAGTCCAATGATGGATTTTGGGGGGAAGACTTCCCTGTCTCCTCTCTAGGTTTTAACTGATGCAAAGGATAGTTGGAATAAAATGTCAGTTTTAATAATTGACAAAGCACTTAGCCAATAATTTCCCAACTATTAGGTAAAGCGGGATTGCAAAATGCATCTTGAGCCTGGGGCAATGTGGGGAGTGGAGCTGCCTGAGGGAGAGAGGAGTCTGCAAACATCCTACTTGCTAACCTCTCCAGCCAGATGTAAGGCCGGAAGGCCAGTCATAATAATAGATGGGAATAGGGAAAGTAGAGGAGACCCACGGACAGGTCCAAGAAAGCCCTTGAATACCCTGGCCCCGCTGACTTGTCAGTGCAGCCCAGTCAATCTCTGGCTCTAACTGATTAGATTATCTAATCCTCACTTGGGAAAGGAAGAAAATGTCATAGAGAGTAAACAAACAAAAGACTTCATTTCAACACCTAAGAAAACTGACAATAGGGATAAAAGTTCCCTCCCTCCCAACAACAATTTTATAGGAAATGTTTTTATTTCTGATGGTCAATAAGGGCCTTATGGAAAACACAAGCTGTAAAACGACAGGTAGATGTTAACTGGGTCCTGGGTCACAGCAGCCCCTGCCCTGTGAGTCACGCCTTTTGCCATCCCGGAGAGAGACTCCGTCAGCACCACCTCGGGTCGGCTGCAGCTTCTCAGCCCCCCTCTTGTTCCCTCTTCCCTGCCTCCCTTCCTGCTGTTCAGTGCTCTCCATTGATGACTTTGAGTCAACCACTAGTTCCCAGTAATCCAGATAAGAGGAATCTTAGGCAAATACATCTAGAATGCATGGGGCCAAATCTTTTGTAGTGGCCTTAACATGACCCTTTCATTACATTTCAATTTAGTCTTAGGTAAATAAGGCCAACATCTTCATGAGCCCCAGAATCCAGAAACAGGCACATAGTCCAGTGTGGAAAGGAGAGAGACTGGTGGAGGGTAGAGATGACAAAGAACGAAGCTGTGGTTCCAGCCCAGGCTGTTCTCAGGTGCCGTCTGTGTCCCTCCCACTAGGGTCCCATGAGAAAGCTGCTCCTTAGGAAAAGTCTATTGCTCCAAATCATTCCATGGAATCTCATTTTCTTTCTTGTAATCAGCTAAGTAGGAAGGAAAAAAATGGAATGACAAAAAGGCTAATTTGTGGGTATCTGTGTTTATTGGTGAAATGTATATATGTGTGTAAAAAATAACAAAACTCATGACTTAGTGAATATTTATCAGCTATTATAAGTCAAACCCAGGCTGATACTTTGGTATTCAGTAAAATGGTTTATTTAAGTGACAGCTACTCTTTACTGTGCGATCTGGGAACAAAAAATGGTCCTTACTGATCTTTAAATAAGTTGTGCCTTATTCCTGCTTCACTGTCATGGATTTTAATAAATTTAGATCTTTAGTAAAAGCAGTTGTGGGTTAAATTAGTAAGTCATTGTAAAAAGAAATACCAATTATCCTGTACAATGTCTAAGTTCCGTGGATAATGAGAGCAATTCAATAGTTTGATCTCAGGTATTAGCTAGTTTATAAACGCAGGCAATGCTTTTATAAATCCTCTCTTTTAGCTGAGTCCAAAGCCATAACTCTGAGGGACATCATCAGTGCTATTCAGACTTCAATCCAAATGCCATCTCTGCCTTTTATCATAATGATATGAGGACAATTTAGGAAAAAAAAATTCTTGCATCTGAATTAAATAAGAATCAACCATCGCTTCTTCAAGAAAACTTTCCTTGAGACACGTGATGATGTTTTGAAACTTCTACTTCTATAAAATGCTCAGTGGGCCATAGAGAAAGCAGCTAGCTCAGCATGAGAGCCAGGTGGCCTGTTACTAGCTGTGAGAGCTTTGGAAAGTTATTTAACCTTTCTGAGCCTTAGTTTCCACCTCTGTATAATGGCGATAATAGCATCTGTGCATAGGGTTATTGTGAAGATTAGATGTAAAGTAAATTAAACATAAAGTTTCTGGAACCCAGTAGTGGTAAGAGAGCAACTCCGTGCCCTTCCTTCAATTTGCCTTTACCCAACTTAAACATTCCTTTCCTCCTTTCCCAAATACTTAGTTGGAACCATTATTTATCCTTCTTGGTATGTTGCTAAGCTACCCATCTATATTTTGACTTCATGAGGGTGGAGAAACTCAAACTTCTATGTAACGGTACCTTTTACGGCATGTGACACAGTGACCTGTACAGATAAGGTAGTTTTTTAAAGGCCTATATAATTAAAGAAACAATAAACTAAACCACTTAGCAGAAGGTTGTTAAACACCCTTCAGGCATGTGGCAGTATGCCCATTCTGAGTGTGCTAGAAATGAAAGTATTCTGAACAAATGGCCATATTAATGATGGTTTAGGCATCTATGGCTGGAGGAAAAATGATTTGTTTTAAAATATCATTTGTCCCAGTGATCTTTTTCCCCTTGCATCTAATGTTCTTACATGTGTTTCTGCAATAAAACTTTAACTATTAAAGAAGATTGCAATAAACAGTAGCTTAAAAAGTTGGGTTAGATTCCATGAATTTGTAGTGGATTCAAACAGCATGATTTTTGGAATTTCTACAGCAGCATTTGAGGGCCTATTACGTTCCAGACACTCTGATAGGCACTAAGGAAAGCAGGATGAAGACAAACAAGGTCACTGGCCTCTTGGGGTCTAGATTTTATTCTAACTACAAAGGAATAAATGTCATTATTAACTTATTTAGTTGTCTAAATTTTCAGTGGGGGCTTAGTGGTGACATGATCTGTTTACATACTTAAAAAATTTCTGTGGCTTCTGTACAAATGAAGGATTACAAGAGTGTAACAACACTAGTAGGGAGACAAGATAAGAGGCTGGAGCAGAAGTCTCGATAAAAATGGTGGTGGAGTAGCATTATAGACGAGTGACTGCATTTGATGTGAGTGTATGAGAGCAGAAGAATGAAGAAGAATTCACGGCTTTCTGCCTGGGTGGTGGTGCCATTTATTGAAATTCATTATAAATTTTACATATCCAGGAGACACCAAAGTGGAGATGTCAGGTAGGCAGCTGGATATAGGGGTCTGGATCTTAGAGGAAAGATCTAGACTGGACATTTAAATTTGGAAGATACCAGCCAGGAGATAATATTTAAAGACACAAAAAAGTATGAAGTCACTTGGGAAGAGGATGCAATTATAAAAGAACAACGGTCCCAGGACTCAGTCCTCGAGAACTCCAATATTTAGAGGAGGATAAGCTAGCAGATGGCATGTAAAGACAATTCTTTTGAGAAACTTTGCTATAAAGGGGAGCAGAGACATGGGACAGTAGCTGAAGGGATGTGGACGTTAAGACAATTGGCATTCTTTGTTGATTTGTTTTAAGATGACAGATTCTAGAGCATTTTGCATGCTGATAGGAATTACCCACTACTGAGAGAGATACTGTTGATTCTAGAAAAAGAGGGCACAGTGAAGGAGCAAAACCCTGGAGAAGGAGGAAAAAAATGGGATCTGACCTACCAGAGAGTGCAGATGTCGACAGATTTATGGATTTGGTTGCGCTAAAAGCTCTCTACTGATGGCTTCTTATTTTTTCAATGAAGTTATGAAGTGAGATGTGGGGGCAGAGAGAAGGACAAAGAAGGCATAAGTGGTTGTTTTTAGAGTGGGAAAGCAACTTTCTCAGGGGATAGTAGGAGGATTGCTTCATAGTGTTACAAACACTCTTGAGATTTGTGACCATCAATGTAAAGTAAAACCACTTGACACAGTGATGTGATTATCGTACACTGTTGGGACTACACATCTGCTTGTTAGTATCTCCCACCAGAGCCTACATTAGTTGAGGGTCAAGATCCTGTCTAAACTGTTCAGTGTTGATATACCCAGTGTCTAATAGAGTGAGCCAGTGAAGTTATCCCTCAGTGATGAATAAGGAAGTAGAGTTGTCTTTGACACATTAGTTAAAGCAGGACACATTAACGGTGTTTAGAGATTAATGACATTTCTTTAAAGACAGCACCATTTTGGTATAATTCAGGAATCTGTACCATTTTTTAAATAATACTTCTTTCAAATAGTGGCCCTGTCCACTCAATTTGAAATAAAACACTAGGGTAGCCACTAAGTATCGAAAGACAATCGATTAAGAAAATAAAGATAAATTTCCTCACAATGTTTCAATCACAAAACGCTCCTATTAGCTATTAATTTTGGAATGAGCTATACAATAGGAAAGAATACCTATTTTAAGAGTCTGCAAAGGGATGCTCTTCAAGGGACCAGGAAAACCTCCCACTTTTCAATGCTTGATTCCCCAAGGTCACCATAAGATTACGGTTGATTATTCCATGCATTGTTAATTTGATGATGACTTTATTCCTAACTTTTTATTAGAAATAATTTCAAACTTACAAAACTTTGCAAGAATGAAACAGGACAAGGGACATACACTCCTTTTTCAGATTCATTTTATCCCATTTGCTTTATCCTTTGCTTGCTCTCTCTTACTCTCTCACTCACTCTGTCTCTCCATAGTATTTTTTTCTCAACCATCTGAGGGTAAGTTACATACATGATGATTAAATTTTTTAACAGTTGAGAAAAGTAAGCAAGACTGTTACGTGTTTGTGCAGTGCCCAGAGATAAGCCAACTCATTCTGTCACTGCACTTACCATCTTCTGGAGCATGCTTGTATTCTTTGTCTTCCATCACTTCGTAGTCAAACCCGAGAAGATCAATGGGGATGGTGTATTTCCTGGCGTAGTTCTGCTGGGCGCCGGTCAGGAAGGCTTGTGTGAAGAAGAAGCCAGAAAGCCAGAAGACTGGAGGAGGGCCCACCTCGTACCATTGCTGTGGTGTCAAAGCACAAGTGTCCTAACGAAAGAGCCTTTCAACTTTGAATACAACACTGCGTAATAAAATGTGTCCAGAAACACTCCCCCTAATATCTTTTAGGTAAACTAATAAGTGAGCTAACACTTTGAGGAATAAAAAGCCATACTCTCAAGTTTTAAAAAATAAGTAGCATATTCAGTGTTTGTTCTGACTTCAATTTCCTATCTATCGCACCAGCTTGAGTCCCACAACGTGCATGAAGGCAGATATAAATGTCTTTTATACACGCCCAATGATTCCTTCAGAAAAGCTCCATAAAACAGTGAGCATCTAATATTCATTGTTGTACAATATATCACGTTATATGGTTGAATAGAAGAATAGATCCCTATAAAGTCTGGTCGGATGGTAATGTTTTTTCACTTTTTCTCTTTAGTCATTAATACCCAGTAGAATGTTCCTTGGGAAGTTTTCCCTCCTACTTCACTAAAATACAATGAAATTCAACATATAGAAACACGATATTGTACAAGGAACTCCCAGAAGAAACAGGGTAGTGAGAGCTTAAGATCTTTATAAATATTGAGATACCTGGATATTCTGTTCATGTCATCTATTATAATAAGCTAGTTGAATACTGACTTTAACTAAATGGTACATTATAGAAGTCAGTCTGAAGAAATGAATTTGAAGAGCTTTTCCCGATTAGAGTCCAAGGTAGAGCCTTTATCTTTCAAGAACAATCTTAATTCTTTAGTATCAACTCTAGTATGACAGAAGGCCTGTATTATGGAAGGGAAGTTTAGTCATTTTCTCCCTGCAGAAATTTGCTCATGGGCAGTTTTTGATGCACTATGTACATTATCTAGGAAATTAATACTGCTAATGAATATAATTGTTAATAAGAACATAGTTAAGCACCAGTATTGCCAGATAATTAGGAGGTAGGCTTCAACCCACTTGTTATTTCCAGGACAATTAAACATTGAGGTTGTTACTGTCTTGGGCTGAACCAGCAATCTAGTGATTTCATGACCTGGAAGAACGCTGGACAAGGAAGAAATAATGCTCCTTGCTAGTAACTTGTCTGGCTTTCTAAGATGCTTTGCTCTAGGGATCTATTTTAATGCTAAATATTTAAGGGAAAAATCAACATAGCCAGTTGTTTTCTCTCTTCAAATGTCATTGACTTGAATGTCTAACTTCACTAAATGTGAACACCTGCTCCTAAAGAGGCTTTCAGAGATTCCACTTCCGATTCTAGTATTTTGACAGTTAGTGTAACAGTTACGCGAATTATATGCAATATTCACTACTGGTCACTTGTTCTTGGAATGCACAGAAAAACTAGAGAGCAATACTCATCACGTTAGGCCTCCTGATGAAGAAAATGAAATCAGAAGAAACTTAATATAGGATCATTTGGATGAACTCACCTGCAAGAATTTTAGTCTTGCGAGGAAGTCATTCACATAGCTCCCGAGGGGCTTCAGGCTGGGGTAGGATTTGCCCATCCACATCCCTGGGATTTTGACATTCAGGATGCTGCTAACCACTTCTTCAAGGTCTGTAGACATCACGACAAGCCCCTGAAACACGTTCAACCTTTGGTTAACATGATCATACAGATTCTGGACAATCTTCTCTTAAACACCTTCTTCATAATTATCTTTTGTTTACAATACAACTGTGATTAGTTAAGGTTGAGTCATACAGCAAAAAAAGAGAAAGTAAAAATATTTTCTGTTGCTCACAAGTAAGTCATGGAGTCTTTGAACCATTCCTTAGAAAAACATTAACAATTTTAAACTAATCAAATTTTAATGGAAATTTTTTTATTGAGGTATAATTGACATATAAACTTTATATTAGTTTCAAGTGTACAACATAACGATGCAATATTTGTACATATTGCAAAATGATTACCACAATAAGTCTAGTTAACATTTGTCACCATAGTTATAAATGATTTTTCCTCGTGATGAGGACTTTTAATCTACTCTCTTAGCAACTTTCAAATATGCAATACAGTATTATTAACTATAGTCACCGTGTTGTACATTACATCCCCACGACTTATTTATTTTCTAGAAGTTTGTACCTTTTGACTCCCCTTCACCCATTTCGCCCACCCTGGAAACTCTTCTTAATCAATACTTGGCTACTCACTAGCTGTTAAATCACAGCCTAACTTTGACTTAGTTTACTTGTCTATTACATGGGCAACTAATATATCTCTGTCCTGCCTTCTTAAAAGGAGAGTAACGAATATAAAATTAGGAAAATGATATGAGATGCTTTGAAAAGTTAAAATATCCTCGATTCCATTTGTGAAGTCTAATTGACCTTTTTGAATCTCTGATGTACAGATGTCAAAACTTTGAGGCCCTTGAAAATTCCTGCCTCTTTGATCTGGCAATTGTGCCAGTTGCCATCATCATTTCTTTTTTTATAGTTGACAATATTATTCCAACTAGCATATGGAGAAGATTTTAGAGTAAGTTTAATGTCTTAAACACCCACATTTCATTTGCCTCCTTCTCTAAACCCACTAAAACAACAGTAAAGGAATTTATTTTTTAAAGGCGTAAGCCCACAAGTGCAGGAAAAATAGAGAAAGGCACAGTGACAACACAATTTGGGGAGCTAGAAAGCATATGGACACACCTGATCCTAAACTGGCAGAGGGGAAGCTAAGAATTAACTAGATATACATGCAGAATACTCAAAAATATTTGGAATTGATGGCCCTAGATGAAAGTGAGGAGAGGAGGATGGTGCTAAATGAAAAAAGTTGTTGAAACCTGGTTTAAAAAACAGACTCCTAGGTCTTCTTCCACAAACTACACATCACCTACCTTGAATGAAACCTGGAAAGGAAAATGAAGAAATCCTGGGAGTTGGGGATGAGAGGCTCAGTTGCGGTCAGAACTACCATACTGAAATCAGGGGGATTAAGTGAATGCATGTCTATTGAATGCTGAGATCCCTGGGGCCTCTTTCCCCGTTTAGCTCCCAGAATGCTGGAACCAGGCCTTTATCTTCCAGGAAGGATACAGGAAGAACCAGGTCAAGGAGAAACACATGATACTGAATGCTTCTTAGCCAAACAGCCCAGCCGGATTACACGACAGCCAGCCTAGTGACTCCTCTTTCAATGATAACCCATCAACCACTTCTCTCCACCTCCAAGGCTACGAGAAGAAAGAAACCAGCTCAGCTGCACCACTTCAGTCGCATAATTGGTCTCTGCCTGCACTCATGTTCCCCTATAATCCTTTCTGCAGTGGTCAGAGTGAACTTTTAAAAATGTAAAATAGATCATTTCACTTCATTACTTAAAACCCTCTGAAGGGTTTACCTTGACACTTTATAGTAAAATTCAAGATCCTAACCATAGCCAACAAGGCCACCATGAGGCCCTTGGCTTCCTCTCTCTGTCCTACCATCTCCCTCGTGCTCACTCCACTCTCGCCACACCAGCCTTCCTTACTGTGTTCCCAGACCATGCTATGCTCGGTCTTCTCACGACCTCTGCACTTGCTATACCTGCTGCCCCAGCGGTCCATAGCTTGTCTCTCCCATTGGGCCCCCGCTCAGGGGTCAGCTCCTCGGAGGAGCCTAACCCAAAAATGACTGAGCTTCCCACCCGCCATTCTCTATCCACTTACCCTGTTTTATTTTTTTCCATAGAACTTACTACTTACCGAAATTCTATTATATATTGATTTGTTTATTTTTTAATTGTTTGTCTCCCTTACTAAAATGTAAGCTCTACAAGGGCAGAGGCTTCGTCTTTCTTACTCCTTAATACTTTGCATCTCTTTAGCCTATATCCTATCCAGCAAACTATCACTACCTAACATACTCTCTACTTATTTACCTGTTTATTAACTGTCACTCCTAGAATTCTATGTGCTCTCCAAGGGCAAAGATTTTTTTTCTATGCCCACAACCAAGAACAGGGCTTGCATGGACTCTGTGCCCAATAGATATTTGCTGAGTAAGCGAATGTGTTTAACTCAGTGGTTTTCTTCGGCGTATGTCCCCTTACCTTGATTGCTTTCTGAATATCAACGCATGATTCTCTTATGGTCTGCAGCAGCTTGTTGAAGCGGCCCATCTCTTGGACGAGCACAGTGTTCATGCTCTGAGTGTAAGTTGTCGGGTATCTCCTCATGGCGGCCTCAACGTCAAAGTTGTTGGGAAGTTTACCCAAGATATCCCCAGCGACCTCATTTACGACTTCATCTGATGATTTTGCACCAGCATCTGCTGAACGGGACTGTAAAGAATCCAAACTATAAGTCAGAAATCCTCGTAAGGGTCTAAGCATAGCTGGAAAGGAAAACTCCTAAGGTCAATGTTATAAGAATGAGTACTACTCTGCCCTTTTATCTACGATTCTTCTCCACGCCAGATTTACTGAAGTGCTGATAACAGGCATGGGGGTGGAGTTGAGGCAGAAACAGTTGTTAGAGAGGAGGAAGAAGGGTGTGTACAGTGTTGAGAGGCAAAAGAGGGTCTGGAGGAAGCAAGCTGCACATTGTGCTGCCTGGTGAGAGAGAGGAGTAGACGCTGCAGATAGAGGGAGAACAAGCATTTACATTGCTGGGGCGGCTAAGTGATGATGGGCATTAAAACCCAGGAGGAGCAAATCTGATCTTGCTCTGAGAAAGCTTGCCACAAAATATATTTGCTAATAACTCTGGTGCCTACTGGTTGCCAAAAGCAGAGATATAGCTTTCTCCTTGAACCAGGAGGGCAAAGAAAATCAGCTCATCTGCTCTAAGCAGCTGGAAGAGTTATGGAGAAAAGGCACACTTTAGTGATTCACATTGGAAGCAAGGAGGGGGAATTTCATTTCATTTTTTATTTTTTATGTTTATAGCATCACTGTGTAAATCTATATTTTCTGGAAAAAAACTTTAAATCCTCAGAATAAATGAATGTGTGAGTGTGTGTCTGTGTGTTGAGACAGAACAAGCACAATTAGAATATAAATGAATATTTCTCATATTTTTCTAGTCCGAGGAAATTGTGTTAGGCTTATTTCAGATTTTATATTTCCTGGTTTCTATACTGGATCTGTTCTATAAATATTTGAACAGATATTTAGTTTCTAGTGAGATTTTTAATGCTACCTACTGCATACCCCCATTAGATCCTATGAAGTTGCACAACAAAAGAATTAAATGTTGCTGTTAATTACATGCTAATAAAAAAAGGGATATACCACTGTAGTAATTCTTCATTATGATCCCAAAGTGCTGGGTTTACAACTAAATATATAAAACAAATTACAGATAACAAAAAAGATAATGAATATTTGGCCAAAACTAGTGAAATATCTATTTCCATTGCATTTAAAGAATTATATGCTGATTTTTATTTGTATTTTGACATGCATATAAGGTACTATAAATTCATTACAAGGAGTCATATTTTCTAACAAGAGCTTTGCCTCCACCAAAAAAAAAAAAAAGAAAAAACAAAAAACAAATTCCAGGCCTATAGCTCTTCAAAAATGTAAGAAAACTATTTTAGTAACACAAACATTCCCCTTACCTATTTCTCACACACACACCAAAATCACATAATTGGGGTGATAAGTTTTGAAAGTAATATCCAACTGGTATTGAGAATTAAGAGCAAGAGGGTGTTTTTTATTTGTAATTGTTTAACTTAGGTTTTTTCTTTTTATTGTCTTTCCTTAGAGTTTGCACAAATGTCATTTAAAATCTTCTAAGTGTTATTTTCCTTTTATTAAACAAAATAAAGATAAGTGGGATTCATTTTCAGGGAGATATCACAGACTTTAACCTTTTCAGAGATCTTAGACCATTCTTAGTTTTAGAATATTTTAAATTGAAACAATTTTCCTATTCAAAAGAGAGTCTTGGCAGTTAAGCATAAGCAAGAGAGCTCTGCGAAAATAACACCCTCAACTCCAATATCCCCCTCTAATTTTTAAGGATATTTTAATTAAATACATAATGTGAAAGTCTTGTCATCGGTAACTTGCTCTCCAAACTCTGCAGCTCTGGTCCCACTCTTTGCCTCTGAATTGTGATAAACCCAATGAAGAGTCACTGAACTACTGCCTACCCGTTACTAGAATTGTACTTGCCAAGCTGAGTTTGAGGCTATTGAAAGAGGTTGTTTAACTACACACTGAGAAGATATCCCACGTGTATTTCAACTTATTTGTTTGGTTCTGAGTCATTTTCCGTTGGAATGAGCCCACTGTTTTACGTATTCTGTAATGTGGCACACCCCATCAAGTTTAAATAAAGCCAAAAGACACTCTAAACGTCCTATTGTTAGACTGACTATTGTGGATTACATGCATCTAATGTTTCTAAAGATCTACTTATTCATATCCACACACAGACTTTTATGCTCAGGCAATAAGTGATTTTGGTGCTATTAACATGTAAAACAGGCATAAAAAATATTCTTTGTCCCTTTGGCCTTATTATAAAATGTCATCTTACAGTAGACCAGAGCTAGGAGTTCCATGGACTCTTCCATCAATGATGGCAACACCATGTTATCCTCCTAATCTGGTTCTTTCAGCTTTTGTTTTCAGCATCTCTGATTATCTGCTTTCTAGGTCCTATCCAATTTTTAGAATCTAGAAAGAGTATAAGTATAGTGGTTCAGAACACAGATCCTGGAGCCAAACTAGTGTGAGCCAGACTACTTGGCTTTGAGTCCTGGCTCAAAACTGTTCTAGCTGACCTTGGGTAAGCTACTTAATCTTTCTGTGCCATGGTTTTTTATCTGTAAAATGGGAAGACCAGCCCCCACCTCATAGATTGTCATAAGCCTTACACTGTTACACATAAAGCACTTAGAACAGTGCTAGCACACAGCAAGCACTATGTAAGTATTAAGTATTATTGGTATTACTCTAAGATCCCATAAAAATAAAAAAGATCAGCTAGAATTCAGTTCATGGAATAATTTGCTTCACTGAATAGTCATCCTTAACTTATCAAAATTTCATTCAATCACTAAAGAAACTCTTGCCATTTGAACCAATTTGTTTTCAAAAATGAAAAAAAAAAAAAGAAAACGGAGCTCAACTCCCAAAGGGAGAACAATACAAGAGAAGATCTCTTAAAGGACAAGCAAGATTAAATATTTGTCATTCTGATGTACTGACTCGTGCCCATGGCAGGTTGAATTCTGATGCCTTAGAAGATTACTCTCCAACTTACCCTTACATTTGTGCCCACACTAGTGGGGCTATATGTCTACCAAGAGTCAACTATATTTTTCTCCAAAACTTTTTATTCATTTTGTACTTACTATTGCAATTATATTCTTTAAATATTATGTAATCTGATAAAATATTAATGTGAAATAAACTTTCTCTGTAAAGTAGGTTACGTGTTTTGGAATATTTGATAAAGATAAGTCATCTAAAGAGTTGCTGTTGAATTAGTAAGAGACATAAGTAGGCAAAATTTTAGATGGATTCTGGCATCAAACTGCTTCCCAAGTATCTCTGAAATTCTTCTTCCACTTTAAAGGAATTAAAAACGGATATAATATATGATGTATTTGAGCATGATTCATGCAAGAAAAGCAAAATGGAACTGCTAGCAGCAGAATGACATCAAAGATTACTCAGAGATACTCAAAGAATGTTACTCAAAGAACTCCTAGCAGAACGATACTCAAAGATTCTTTCCAAACCAAAAGATTGATGGAAAAACCCCATACCTTCATGTATTTTATGTTTAAATTCATATTTAAGGTACATATGTATTTTTTTTTTTCTTTTCCTTGAAATGCTTCTCCACGTTAACAGATGGCCCTGTGTACATGGGCCTCTACTATGCCAGCACGTGCTGCTCGGGGAGCATCCTTCCCAGCCTCATAGGCCAATTCCTGTACAGACCACGCACCTGTGTAAGAAGAATGTTATCGAATAGCAGTTGAGTTTCTGACTGATCTTTAGTGATATCCGCATTGGCATTCATCCCAAAGATTTCTGGTGCTGGGGTAAGTGGCAGAGTCTTTGTGTATTCGATGTAGCTTTTGTGCTGCAAAGATGAATAACAAGGAGTCAGGGGGTTAGAAATCAATTATCCTGTAGGACTGTCTCACTGAAAAGAGATAATTTTCAATACTCAAGTTATTGAGTGGATGAGCGTGTGAGACTGGGGGGTGAAGTGCTTTCATTTTCTTTCAACCTGGGCCAAAGCTTAAAAAAAACATATGAACACATTTAGAGGGAAAAAGAAAATGTACCCTTCAATTGGAATGGATTTTAAAATGGAGAGAGGAATATCCTGGCCACTTCACTTAGAAATTTCTTCCATAGACATCTTTCTATGTTGCCTTTTGCTGATGACTTTTCTTAATTTATTGCAATAACAATAAAATTTTTTCTGCTTTACCCTGATTTTTCTGTTGTGGGTGATCAGAATTGGCCACCTCAAAATGTGTCTCTTTGGCTTAATTATTTTTAAGGACAAAAGACTCTGAAAGAAACTTTGACCTTCCCCCTAACTGCCTAAAAGAATTTAAGATAGCAGGCCTGTTCCAGGAAGGAGCTAATACCATAAGACTAACATGGTGTATGTTTTTATGCATATGCACACATTTTATATTTTATTTACATGGACTTCTATTAAAATTCCTTATCTTTCTTGATGCTCATATAATTACATACACTCACATACATATACGGTGGGGGTGGCAATGGGTCATTGATGGTTTTGCGATATGGGTCATGTTACATCCACCTGACTTCTTGCTTTTTGCTCACTTGACAGTTCATCATTGGAGATTTTGTTGCCCATGACTCCCCATGTTGACTTGCTCCACCCAGTCAGTGACCTAGGCTCTGGGACTGATTTTTCTCTTCATCCCTATCGATATCTGCCCCCAGCGAGCATTAACCCTAGTGGATGATGGATTAGGGTTGGGGGATTATGGTATGTGCTTTTGTTGGATGTGGCCATGTGTTTAACTTTCAATATGTGCCCTTTTGACTTCTGGGAATAAAATGAGAACTTTTTGTCCCAGCAGTGCCTAGAAGGCTATTGTGTGATAATCTGAAGGCAGATACCACATTTTCCACTAGATGGGACTGGGAAAAACAGCAGAAGGGAGCCTTGGCCTTGTGTGGTAGGTGGTTCTGTGACTGTCTGCCTCTTTCTACCTGTGCAGCTTTGGGAAAGTCATTCAACTTTAGTGAACTTGCTTTCTTATTTGCAAAAGGCACAGAATAAAGTCAACATTAGTTTGATGCTCTAGTGAAATACTTACATGTAACTGCTTTGTAAGTAATTAAGTATAATAAAAATATTAACTAGTATTGTTAATATTATTTTGTAACCCCTCCCATATATATTTCGATTTTAATTGGGGACAAATGTCTTTTTACCCAAAGGACTGAATTCACGATAACAGAATTTCAGGTCACTGAGGAAGCTATTCTTGCTACTCCTCACATGACAGCAAACAGGAAACCACTAACTCCATCTCTGCATGGGGTTTGCTCTGTCCCTGTAAGACTGAAGAAAGCACGCACAATGGTTAACCAAAAGGGAGGCCTCTGGAAAAATCATCATTTTCTATATCAGAGGAATTTCACGTTTTACTGCTTTTAGTTTTCCTGAAGGGCACACTTACATCACCAGAAGGAGGGACAAAATAGATGCCGCTTGAGTCGAATCTATAGGTTGGGTTTTGAACTAATTCTGTGTTGAAGAATTTGTTTAGAATGCTGCGCAGCGTGCGCCGGTCCCAGTCGTCCGTCACCCTGCCTCCGTAATTGCATTCACCGGTCATGTAGCGCAGGGCATCATAAGGCAGTTCCTAAAATTGACAGCTCAAGTTGCTCAACCAGTTGAGAGTTATCAGTAGCACATTATACAGAATCATGTTTCTTGTTTGCTCATACTACTAAATTAAACAGCTTACAAAAATTTGCATTAACACAATTCTCTTTACATACTTCCCTGCTAATCGCTGCAATTTTCCCCCATCTTTCTCTCCTTTTGTGGTTTGTCATTTCCATTCAGTCAACACAGAATAGAACTCCTCTGTTAATTGTGAGCTCACTTACTATCCAACCAACATGAATGGACCACTTACTATGTGCCAGACACAGAATGACTTAGACCAGAATCCCATCCTCGAAAACCTTGCACTGCTGAGTGACATTCAAAACAAATCCAACAGAATTCAGAGATAATCAGTGTTAATTTTCTTCATTTTTTTTTTTGAGGAAGATTGGCCCTGAGCTAATGTCTGTTGCCAATCTTCCTCTTTTTCTTTTTTCTCCCCAAAGCCCGGTACACAGTTATATATCCTAGTTGTAGGTCCTTCTCGTTTTTCTATGTGAGACACTGCCTCAGCATGGCTTGATGAGCAGCGAGTAGGTCTGCACCTAGGATGCGAACCGGCGAACCCCAGGCTGACAAAGTGGAATGTGCGAACTTAACCACTGTGCCACCGGGCCAGCCCCCTCACTACCTTTTATATCCATATATATTTTGATTATTGGAATCACACTGTATATACAATTTTGCATATAATTTTTCACCAAATCTCATATTATGAGATATATTTTACCATTTCATGAAATACTCTTTGAAAATACTATTTAATAACTGTCTTCTACTATTGAACACTTCAGTTGCTCCTAATTTTCTACTGTGTTAAATTATGTTTCATTAAATATATATTTCTTAACGTTTCTAATGATTCTTCAGTCCAGATTTCAGAAAAGGAAATTACTATGTCAAAGGAAAGAAATTTATAAAAAGCAATTGACTAATGTCACCAAACTGCTTTACTGAAAGGCTGGAGCAATTGTAGGATTAGTTTTAAAATCTTTGCTAATTCGAGTGCCCAAACACAATTTTGTGTTAATTTGCATTTTTAGAATACTAGTGAAGTTCATAATTTTTTCATATGTTTAAAAACATTTGTTCTTCTGTGAACTAGCCTCCTGCGCATTTTTATTCAATTAAAGATTTAATAGTTTTATTTTATTTGTATAAGCTGTTTTATAAATTGACCTTTATTTACCAAATTTGTGGAAATATTTTTTCCAATTAGTTTGGTTTTTTATTATATACTTTGGTATACAGAATTTTTAAATGTTTATGAATGCAAAAGTATTGACTTTTCATGTTACAATTTCTTTTATCCTAAGCACAAATACTTACACACCCACCAGCAATATAGAGAATTCTATTTCTCACTGCTCTCAAGAAAACTAAGCATTATCATTTAGGGGAAAAAATTGACAATTAATAAAATTGTTTTAATTTTTGTTTATTTTATTTCATTTTATTTTTTTATTGAGATATAATTGAAACATAACATTATATTAGTTTCAGATGCACAACATAATGATTTGGTATTTGTATATATTGTGAAACGATCACCACAATAAGTCTATTTCACATCTGTCACCTTACATAGTTATAAAACTTTTGTCTTGTGATGAGAACTTTTAAGATCTACTCTCCTAACTACTTTCAAATACGCAATACAGTATTATTAACTATAGTCACCAAGCTGTACATTACATACCTTAAGTTTATTTTTGATATTGACATTTTTGAAATGTTTATTCACCATTTGTATTTCTTATTTTGTTAAATTATATGCTCTGTCCTTTTATGTGTTTTCCTCACTTGAATGGTTATCTTTTTTTCTTATCATTAAAAGCTCTTTATGGGGCTGGCCCCTTGGCGTGGTGGTTAAGTTTGGCACGCTCCACTTCGCCAGCCCAAGTTTGTGGGTTTGGATCCCAGGTGCAGACCTACACCACTCATCAGCCACGCTGTGGTGGCAACCCACATACAAAATAAAGGAAGATTGGCATAGATGTTAGCTCAGTGCCATCTTCCTCAAGCCAAAAAAGAGGAAGATTAGCAACAGATGTTAGCTCAGGGCGAATCTTCCTCAGCAAAAAAAAAAAAAAAAGAAACATCTATTTGTAAAGATACTGAATCAGCTTGTCAGATAAATTTTAGATATTTTTTACAATTTTCATTTGTCTTTTATTTTTATGATGTTTAGTTGTTTATGGTATTTTAATACAGTAGTGTTTTAAAATACTTTCTGCTACAATACAGCAATCTTTTACGTTAGGATTTTGCCATCATTTCTGTGCTTTACATGGCCTTCTCACCGCTCTCTGTGAAAAGCTAAAGTGTGTATATCCTACGTTCCAGTGATCCCACTTGGAGGAATCTCTTCAACAGAAATACCAGCACTAGGGAAGAGCAGGTGTGAGTGATTAGAGATGGGAAATTTACGGAATGAGGGGTTGGAAATTACGGGACTTGTTGTTTGGTAGAACTGGAACTGAAGGCAGTGAATTTAGGAGAACACGTCAGTGACCAAGACATCGTGGAGAAACGAACACAATTAGGCAGGAGGACTCCAGCACGCTGACGTCCTTCCAACTGCAAACGTAAGGGGGTGTGATCAGACGCCTGCACCGCTTGGCTGGCCTTGTTGACAGGCCCCCACCTCAGAATGAAACCTAGGACGAAAACTCACATGCAAATTACACGGGGAGCACATGAGCAGCACGTGGACAGGTTGGCCCTGGGAGGGCTTCGTGATGCAGACGTAAGATGAGATCTGGACGGAAGAGTGATTTATGTATAAAGGGTTAAACCTGCCACAGTGCCCCTGAGAGCGGACGGGTGAAACGTCTCTCAGAGCTCCATCACAACCAGCACCAATCAACTGGGGCCTGCCTTCTCCCAGGGGCCCAGGCACACGGGCTGCAGTCGCAGAAATAGTAGCAGGCGCTGCTGGGGTTGCTTCCTGCTCAGTTGTTATAAGAGCGCTGAGACCACGACGAGCAGGCAGAGAGTGTAGACGGAAGCAGAGCTCAAAGTTGGCAATTGGTGTGCAAGGTTATATCCGAGGTTGTTCATTCTAATGTTGCTTATCAGCAAAAAATAAAAAGGAAATAAAATCCTAATAGTCAACAGAGGGGCAATGCTGTGTGAGCAGCCGTTAAAACAAAGATCCATATCTACTTTGGAAGTTGTCCACAACATATGTAGAGTGCAAAAAGCAAGCTGAAAATGAATATGCAAATATAATTATGTCTTTGAGGGAAAATTTGTGTGTATATCGTGCATATGTATATGTGTACCTATATGTGCATAGCAAACTGCTGTACAGATATGCCCTAAGCTATGAAATTGAGGGGTGGGCCTTTCACACATACACATACACACACACACACACACACCCCCCAAAACAAGAACAACAAAGCAATTGCCCATCTGCCAAGTAGATTATATATATCTACTTATATTTTCTTCTTTTACAGCTTCATTTTTCCTATTTACTTTTTTAAATCCAACAGGAATTACATAGCATGAATAATCTAGCTTTATTTTCTCCTACTAGCAAATAACTGATTAGTCTCTCATCATTTATTGAATACTCCTTCCATTTCCTATCTATTTTCAGTGCTGCGACTACTATGCCAAAGTTCTACATATAGTAATGTTGCCATTCTTGTTAGTGAGAGCTGGAGGATCTTTCCACTCATCACAGTTCATTCATTAGACAGACACTTACCAAGCCGCCTACTACATATACTGTTTTAGGCACTAGGGATGCAAGAGTAAATGAATCAAAGTCTCCATGTATTCTAGTGGCTCATGATCTGACAAAATGTGCTCTCTTGAGCAGAAGTGTGCAGTTCCCAGTGACCCACATGGTTCACCAGCTCTGTTAAGGCCACCAGAGCAAAATGGGGCCTGGGCACCCATGTTTCTGGCCACTATGCTAGAGAATGTTAGGAAGAGGATAGCAGAGATGATGGGCAGTAAACCATGGGAGATCAAAAAAATATGGAATCATCTTCTGCTCTCATAGGTGTTCATCCATGAAGATAAGGATTCTCAACACAATCCTGGACCGAGTGACTATCAGCCAAAGTGGCAGGTAGGAATGTGCCAAGGGCAGGAATCTTGGCTCCTGAGTCTGAGTTGGTTATTCAAGAAGGACTCGTAAAAGTAGACAAAGATTGAGCACAGGAAAGGGCCCTCAAAGTGAAAGGGAAATATATACCAGGGCTCAGAGGTGTGAGAGAGCAGACAGTGCTGAGAGAAGAGCAAGCAGGCACAGGGCGTGGGGTAGAGCAGGGAGGCGGGAGTGGAGGAAGGCAGGATGTGGCGGGGGAGGGGTAGGGAGCAGCTGCGTGTAGGTGACTCCCCATTTCTAGCTTGAGGGTTGTGTGGGTGGTGGTTCTGATGCTTTGCTGCAGGCAGAGAATGGAACATGGGGAACGGAGACAGGATTCCATAAGATAATCATTCCTCATTCTGCTGCTTCTCCACATTTTTCCCTATTCCTTGGCCTACTATTTTTACAAAGCACATTACCTTATATCAGCTCCATGGACGCCCAGCACCTGACTAGAAATCAGGGCGCAATGGTGTTTCTCGACCCCAACACTTGAATACCAGGGACCACTTTTGCGAAATCTTCGTTTCTGCAAGTTCCTATTAGTGTTTGATTTTTCCAGAATGCTAGAGCCTTGTCTATAGATTTCTCCTCCCTAACGACTTGCTTTTCTCTTTATACATTCTTGGCCGAGGTGGGAGGAACTTACCAAGGCCATATTTCTGAGGCATGGGGCAAAGACTCCTAGAATCCTTCATTTTTTTTTTTTTTTCCAGTTGGACTTTTATTCACAGTAAATTAGAATTAGAACATAAAGATTTGGTTCCATTGCCATAGCTGACCCACTGGACCTACTTAGGAGCCAGAAGAGCATGTTCTGGTACAAGTTAGGAGGTCTAGGTTTAGTGTGTGTGAGAGAGAGTTTAATTCTGATTGGTTTCTTTGTCAAGACATTGGATCATTTTGTTTTAAGAAAAAAATTTTAATTGTTGAAGAAGGATTATATTAGACTTAATAATATCAAGGGAACCGTGAATTCACATTCCTCAAAGAATCTCTCTCTAATTCATGATGAATTACACGCGACACACGAATAGCAGTTTTGTCATTTGCTATATAATTACTACACTAGAGGAATGGGAAGCACTGCTGAACCGTCATTTAATAGAAAGAACCAGTTCAGTCAGTCCCGTATGTCATCCAAAGATGCTCTCTGCAGCATTTGACAAGATGGACAGTTCTCGATATTCCCTATTTACTCAGCATGCTCTCTCCTGCTTTTTTCCCTGGATGCTCAGTCTGCGCTTTCCACGTCTCCTGTCCTCTCTCGTACCATTGGTATTGGGTACTTGCCAACAGTCAATCTTTAGTTCTCTTCTTTTCTTAGGCTACAAGGCCTCCCTTTTAAATTTCAGATGTTCTCAGGCTTCTCCTAACATGTTAGCAATTCACAAACCTGTTTTGTGCTCACTCTCTTCTCTTAGGCTTTACATCTATATGCCAAGAGCCTCCTAGATACCTTCACCCGGACATCCCAGGTGTGTAACACATAGGAGACTGAAGTAATTATCAACTCACCCACCCCCATTCCACCAACCCACCACTTTATCCCTCTTACTTCCTGGTACTATTCCCTATCTGGATTAACGAATGGTACCACCACCAATCCAGACTTCTCCCTCTGCCTCTACTATTTAATATCTAAGTCATTTCAATCTTTTCCCCTACATGTCTATCGTATCTCTACCATGTTCCCCATCCTAGTTCAAATATTTTCGTTTAAACTTTTATCATCTCTTGCCTGAGTTATCATGATGGTCTCCTGTGTTAGTTTCCTAGGGCTGCACATAGGTGGCTTAAAACAACAGAAATTTATTGTCTGAAGTTCTGGAGGCTAGAAGTTTGAAATCAAGGTATTGGCAGGGCCAGGCTCCCTCCAAAGCATCTAAGAGGATCCTTTCTTGCTTCTTCCAGCATAACTCCGGTCTCTGCCTCCAATTTCACATGGCTGTGTTCTCTCTCTCTGTGTCCAAATTTCCCACTTCTTCTAATGACACCAGACATGTTCTATTAAGGCCCCACCCTTCTCCAGTACGACCTCATCTTAGCTTACTAATTACAGCTGCAACAACCCCATTTCCAAATCAGGTCACATTCTGAGGTACCATGGATTGAACGTCAACATATCTTTTGGGGGGACACAATTCAACTCATATCATCTAAAACTAGCCTGTCATCTGGGTCCCTCTCATCTACTCTCCACTCTGTTGCTAGAGTGATCTTTCGAAAACGCAAATATTCTCCTAAAAGCACACCAATAACAACAGAATAATCCCCAAGTCAGTTAGCATGACATTCAAGGAGGTTCCAAATCACTTATAGTTAACCAAATCTTTTCACCTATTTGCTTTTTTTTTTAACCTTTTTATTGTTGTTTCTCCACACTATCTACCTGAAAGCCTTCTACTCATTCCTTAAGTCCCAAGCACCTGGTTCTCTGTGGAACCTTCCCAGATCACATCTAGCAGAACTGCCTACCTTTTTGTTTGTGTTCACATCTCTCAATAGCAAGGGTGACCAGGTATACTATTGTCCAAACAGGAACACTTTGATAGTGAAAGTGGGTGCTAAAGACAATTAGTATTATATAATTTAAAAATAGTATACATTAATTGACAAATCTATTTTAGCACATTGGTGGACCCATAAGTAGCTCTACTCAAACATTGTTTTCAAAATAAGATTATTTCTTAAGATAATGAAGAAACTGAAGCAAAAAGTTTTTATAATAATTATCTTAAGAAAAGTATAAGTGGAATAACTTTTCTTGGGATATATTCACACTAACTTCTTAGACATATCTGTCTCAAATAACATGTCTCTGATATTTTTATGAAGAATATACTTTTCAGCGTGGTCTCATTGTTTTTAATTTTTAAAATAAAATTGTCTATAATCTTCTGCAAAGTTTCATTTTATGGTTACTAAATTTTAAATTGTTGATACTTTTTTTGTGTGTGTGTGTAAGGAAGATTAGCCCTGAGCTAACATCTGATGCCAATACTCCTCTTTTTGCTGAGGAAGATTGGCCCTGGGCTAACATCCCTGCCCATCTTCCTCTACTTTATATGGACACCGCCACAGCATGGCCTGACAAGTGGTGCGTTGGTCCGCCCCCAGGATCTGAACCTGCGAGCCCCAGGCTGCTGAAGCAGAGTGAGCAAACTTAACCACTACACCACCCAGCTGGCCCCAAATTATTGATACTTTTAACGGACTCTTCACTAAGAGACTATATTAAAAGACTATAATATTTTAAACTAGAATAAATGCTACAGGTGCATTTGTCCAAAATAACACAGAAACTCAGACAAAGGACTCTTCACATATGTTTACGTATGTAATTTGAGCTCTCAGTATTTATTTTGTTCAGTTCTTCCTTTGCTTTTATAGAGATAAAATTCAATGCCTTCCCCTTTGTAAACCTTTTTAAAAAGAATAATCACAATTCACTGAAAGTTTCAAAAACTAAAGTTTTTTGATACTCCATTGATTGATTTAGTTAAAGATTTCCAACTACTTTTGAACAAAATTCTACCAAAATTTAAAGGGTTCACTTTTTAAAAAGTTCCATGTGTTTGTAGGACACTTGGATGGATTTACCAAGTGGTTCTTCAAAGGCACAAACAGGTTAAAAATCAAATTGATGGACAATAGCAAGAGAGAAAGTGGGTACTGCCACACGGTGTGTGTGTGTGTGTGTGTCAGAATTGTAGGGGATGAAATGTGGTTGATGTGACAACATTAGGCTGCTTGGCTTCTTCCCAGAATCTATACTTCAGGTTAACACCAGTGGCTTAACTAGTTCGTTGTCTCCTGACAAATGGCCCAAACTCTGGAATAACACTACGATGACATTTCTCTAAAAATAAAGTCATGCTCCAGAACAGAAGGAAATCAGTCTGTTTGTTTGTTTTCATTTAGGAGCCTGGTTGATTTATGGTCTTCTCAAATCTTTTTCAAAGTAAGTACAATACAATCACTTTTCAAATTTCTATAGGTGTTAATATGTGTCGAAATAAATGATAAAATACAGATTCCTAAAAGACAAACTTCTCAACTACCTACTATAGCAGCTATAATAATATCCTGTTATAATAAAGTACTACTTAACAAGCTGTTGAGAACTATCCTGCTATTCATTTTATAAGAGTAAAAATTAATCAGAAGTCCCTGCTTACTGTACAAACACTTACAATGCGATAAAGAGCAAAACAGATGATGTCCTTGCTGTGATTTTTACGATACCTCATACTGGTTCAGGAACATGTGGAGTTGCTGTACACTGATTCTTAGGTCAGTCTCATTGAACTCATAAGGAATATTCCACCCCAGGGGTCCAAATTTCCGTCTCTCTTGTACCAAAGCGTGAAAAAAACAGAGGCCGTAAAGTAATTTCTTGAATTCCTCCTATAATGAGAAGAAATGGTGCCACATTATTATTTTTTCCCCCAACATTGCATTATACTTACCATATTGTAAAATGAAAGTAATTAACTCCTTTTGCTTATAAATCTATCCACCCCAAAGTATACCAAAAACAGAATTAACTGTTTCTACAGGCTATTTAGGCAGAAATATGCCCATTTGTATACATGTTCAGTTGGCACACATAGCTATGTACACCAGGTCTTTAGGAAGCATAGTAAGCTTGTCTAATCTAAGGTTACCTTACAGGATTTTGGAGGTTCCAACTGACGCCTCCTGAGGCAAGAAGTATGAATTCTAATGTGTGGTCCTAGACCATCCTGGAGAAATTTCAAAGAAGATAATTCAAACCAAATAGGCAGCTCTATAAAAGGACTTTTGGACTGAAACTTTGGGTGGGCCCACGACTTTTCTGGTTACTCTCGGGTAATAAAAAGTCCTATAGTCACTTTCAATTGCTAAGCCAGCCTTGATTCAGAAATCAGAAAGTACAATGAAATATATTAATCATTTGTACCCTCCAGAAGGAGGATGTAAAATGGTCAAAATGGAGCTTGAGAGAGGATCTGTGGAGAGATTTCCTTGGAAAGAGCAGCTGCTGTGCTGGGAGTCCCCTTGCCCCCGCCCCCAAGGGAGAAGGGAGTGTGAGGTCTCTCTTAGTCCAAGCCAGTGAGAAGGAATGAACGGGCCACTCGGAGATTTGAAAAATGTTTCCTGCCGCTGGGTGGAGTGGGAAAATGCAAAACCCATGCCTGAAAGAGCAGAGCAGTCCAAGGGCACAGGGTAGAGGACTGTGGGAGGGAAATCAGCACCCGTCTTCCAAGAGTTGGCCAACCAGGTATGGATCCCAAGGAGCTGGGGAGCTGGACTAGGAATGTCAGCCAGGGGTCATTTAAAGGTTGCCTGGTCCAGAGGACTGGTGTCACGGGGTGAGGAAACCCCAACCGTCAGAGCCTGTTTGAAGTGAGTGCTGGAGAACCAAAAGCCGAGGGGACTCAGGAGCAGCCAGCTGAAGGTGAGACACTGCTGAGGGTGACGGGATCACAGTCAGAGGCGTCCACAGGAGAGCCCAGGGAGAACCCACGAAAGAACTCACAGGAGAAAAAGGCAGCTGTGAACCCCCAGGACAGGCGCCCAGTCCAGAGAGCTCAGAGCAACAGCAGCCCACAGCAGGAACCTCTACTCCCCGCCTTGTCCCCACACACTCGGAACTGAGGGTCAGTGTCAACAGCCACCACATGCGGGAGTCACAGAAAGAAAGACGCCAACCTCCTCCTCCTCCCCAACGCAGGGAGCCCGTGCACTGCAGGCCCTGGGTGAGGTACTAGAGAGTCGATGCCTACATTCTGAATAAAAGTTGAAGTACTGATTAATACATGGCATTGTACATTCTGATCTCTGCGTCAAGGCTGGCTGTGCAAGTTAAAATGACTACAGGTCATTTTATTACTGGACAGTAAGCAGAAAAGCCATGAGGCTGCCCTAAGTTCTAACACGGGGAAAGTTTCCCCCGTGGAATAAACTTGAAAGAGAGGGTGGGAGGCGAAAGTAAAGCAGCATAAATTTAACCACAGAGGTGGGAGGAAGCACACTTAAACATGCTGTGCTGATGCTGGAACTATTTTAGATTTATTAGAGAAGTGAGCAAATTGGTAAATGTGTTGATGCTGTGGGAACCCGGTTTCTCATGCAGAAGAAGGACATACAAATATAGAATGAAGAAGAGCAAGAAAGAACCCCAGGTAGATGGACTGAAATTGGAGGTATGCCTATGAACTCATTGCTTCTAAAATATACATGAGTGTGTATGTGTGCACGTACCTATGAGTATGCATGCATATGTGTGTACATAAATTTTGTACATGTATATGTGTGTGAGGACCTGTATATATTTCCAAGTTCTCTCCACTGACAGGGCCAAGAACCAAAGCCAGTGCAGTAGCACTGAGCTCATCTAACCCCCAGATCTTGGTCTCTAATACCATTCCTCTCTAAAAAGGATCAGGACTCTTCAGAGAAATGGCTGGTTCCAGGACTACGGTACAGATGAGCCCAGAGCATCATATGTCAGAAAGTAAGAGGGCTAATCATAATAATAATAGAATTTTTAAAATGATGGGGCCTATAACAAGCAGAGGAGTCAGCTTAAGGAGCTCTCACTGACCATATATATAACAATTTGAGCCAAAGACTTAAGTATAGCAATGAATTGTAAACCAATGGGAAAAAAACAAAAAAATGCATGAGTCCATACCAATAACAGATAAAGAAATGAGGGAGAAGGGAGAGCTTTGCTGACAGTAGCATGCCAAGTGTCAAATATGGAGGGAGTGCCAGAGTTGGAATCATCATAGGAAATAACTGGGTCAGGCAAGAATCATCAATGGACACTAAATCTGGGCTGGGGTGGAATTTGATAAGGAAGAGGATATTTGCATGGTCCTAAAATGTCTCCCCACAGACTGATTATTAGTTGCAAGGGGCAGAGCAGTTATTTACAGTGAAGAAATCTGACAACACTTTGTCCAGGGGATCAAAATAGCATCATCAGTGAGGGGTAGATGGGCACTGTGTGCCTCCCAATGTAATACTGTGAGGGCACAATTTCATCCATGTAGTATTCTGGCTAAGAATGCGTAACCTGAACCTAATCAGGAGGAAATATAAAACAAGCCCAAAATGAGAAAAATTCTGCTAAAAAAATGGGGGGAGATGAATTTTTCAGAAATGTCAATGTCACCAAAGACAAAGACAGGCTGAGGAAATGTTCCAGATTAAAGGAGGCAAAGAGACATGGCAACCAAATGTGACACGAACCCTAGACCAATCTTGTAGTGAACAGGGAAATGCTCTAGAGGACATCACTGAATCACATGACAACTTTGGAACACAAACGGTAGATCAGATACAATAGCGTATCCTTATTAAATTTACTAAACTATTAACTGTACCTGGAAAAGACAGTATTTCTATTCTTAAGAAACATACATGTAAGTATTTCTTTCTGGATCAAGGGCAGTGACGTATCTAACTTCCCTGCAAATGGTATACATTAACAGGCGGTGATATGGGTGAAGGGCACAGGGCTGTTCTTTGTACTATTTTTATACTTGCAATTTTTCTGTAAGTTTAAAATTATTTCCAAATAAAAAGTTAAAATAGAAAAACTATGATGTGCTGCTTTGGCATCGGAGGAGAGCTGGGTTTTGGTTTGGCCCGTGGTTCATAAATGCCTGGACTTCCAATCTGTGTGACTACCACTGGAGGGACATTTGGATCTAGGAGAAAGGCAGTAAAACATTGCAGAAGGGCTTCTGTCCAGCCTATCACATGCAGAAGTGTCTCACCACCCACCTGGGAGTCACCTGCCCTCTCTGGGCCTAATCAATGCCAAAGCTGGTCCTACAGCAGGTCTTAGAAGCTTAGGATAAGGTTTGACTTAGTTTTAAATACAGGTACTTTTAGTACCCAAAACTTTTGTTTAATGAAAGTATTTCTTTATTTTTATGTTTTCTTTTGATGTGTACTTAAAACATATTCTGACACCAAGAGTATGAGGGTTTTAATGGCAAAAACTTACCCAGGTTCATAACCCCTCTTAAAAAGAAACTCTTCCCTTTTTAATTACGGTAAAACACTGTGAAACAATTTCAGGTCACAGACACTCACACAGAATTCTAATCATGAAAGCAGTGGGTGGTTTCCCCGCTTTGCCTGGCGACACTAAGAAAGACCCCTATGAGTCCCATCAATCAAGGAGTAAAATCGTTTTGGCTCTCATTATAGTTATATGGAGGAAATATTTTTATGTTTTAATTTAAAGATATGGCTCCAAATAGGAAAGGGCTCAGTTAATATCCTGAAACAAGATTCTCCAACCTTGCAGATTTGTACTGAGAATGGCTTACAGCTGACTTTCTAAATAGAAAGCTGCATTATTAATGACACCCCGGAAGATCTCAGCTGAGCAGGACTGAGGCTGGTGGTAAAATTAAAATAAAATATTAATAAAATTGACTTCAGCACAGTCAATAATTAGTAATCAAAACCAAGTGCCCTGCAGTGCAGGAGGTCTATTTAATTTCTGGTTTTACTCAGCACATACATCCACGATCACTAGGGGCCCCGTGAATTGCTTTACAGGGCTGAAGTAACAAGACTTGGCCATTACTAACAGGCTTTTTGCAGCTGCCAAAGAACTCAGGGTCAGAGATTGGGTCCATGAGGTATGATCGAATGATATTAGCCCGTAAACCTTTCGGTGCTTCATTGGTCATTTTCACTCCATTCTGCAGTACAGACACGGGGAAATTGGGAGATGGGTAACTTGTCAGCCAAATTCGGAAATCTGGATGAGTTGATTCTGGGCTTAAATCCTGCAAGAAAAGAAATCGGACACAAAAGGTACATAAAATCCAAGAAAAATCTCCAGATCATATGTGCATGGGATAGGCTGGAAGCTGGAAGAAGCATTTTTACAAAATAGAGCTTATTGCTGCAATTTAAGGCAAAGCATTAGAAGCTGGTTCTGCCCCTGAAACAACATAGTTCACTGAGAAGGCCTAGAGTGTTGTCATTCTCCCTGATCCGATTAAATCACACGACTATAAAGTTTACAAAGGTGTTACATAATTCAGAGTTGGCCACAATAAAGACTAAGATATTCCAAAAAATGTTGTATCTTCACTGATGTTGCTGATATATTTACAGAAATAATTCTCTGCCCCAGAGCCAGATTAACAATAATCCCTTCTTTCTGCTATAGCCAGGTTGTGAGAACAAGCAATACACTCAGATATGTCAATATTAAACCAGGCAGGGATGAAAAAAAAATCGAGCATTTTGAAAGGTGAGAAGAAGCAGTATATCCTGACGCATTAAAACATTTCACTACCAGCTACGTTTGTTTAAGGGGATACTCAGGCCGGCACTATAAAGAGGAACAGCACACTCAGCACTGTTGTGAAGGCTACAGGGCTGGGAACAATTATCAGGGAACCCTCCCTTTCTTCCTATTCAGTCCCACTCCCTACTGCTACCTCCCCCAATTGCCCATGTCAGTGGTATCTATGATTGTTTTTTCACTGTAAATGTTTATTAGTAAAATTTTTTTGAGCACTTATGTGGTGAAGGGGTGGGGGTGAGTTAGGAAGGATGCATAGGTGCCTCAGTTCTTTAATAACAGCAGTGGTGGGTGTGGGCACCAGTTTTTCTCCTATCAGCTGCTCTATGCCCAGTGACTTAAGCAACATGACTCATGGGACTTTGGGTGAAGTTCACCATCAATTAGGGTCAGCTCTTCTCTCTTGTATGATTCTCTGACGGGTGTATATGGTATAATTCAACAGGTCATGAGAATGGCCTAGAGACAGAGGAACCAGGAGGAAATAGGCACAAATACAAAACCTCTACTATAAAGCCTGAAGGATGAGTAGATGTTGGTAAGGCAAATAATAGCAGGAATAGTTTTCCAGATAGAAATAATACCTATTATGATGGCCTATAATCTTGAAAATGTGTGCTATACCAATGAAAGTAAAAGAAGTTCAAATGGCTAGAGCACGGAAGTCAAGGTAGAAAGTGGCCAGAAATGACACCTGAGAGGTAGGGAAGGTCAGACAAAGAAGGGTGTTGGAAGCTAGGATGGGGGTTTGAACTTTGTCTTCCATGCAATGGGAAGCCATTGAAAGGTCTTCAGCAGTGAAGCAATATTCATTCACTAATTCAGTAAATATTTATTGATTGTCTCCTATGGCCCAGGCCCAGGCACTACTCAAGGTGCTGGAGATAAAGCAGAGAACAAAAGAGACAGAGAAAGTCACTGCCCTTGTGACCCTCACATTCTAGTGGGAGATACAAACAAAATGGTGACAAGCAGCATAAAGAAAAATACAACCTGCTCTGTAAAGTTTCAGTTGGATGTCTGCATAGTGCATGTTCTATCCTACCTTGGGGGATATATGGGATAAATTTAGTCACCCAGGGGACTCTGAGTTAGGAGGGGCTGGAGTCACGGGGAGTTACAGAGGACACATTTTTCTCTCCATTTGTTGAAATCAAATGCTAGGTTTTCGGTTTACTAAGTTGAGCTACGAGGGGTTTTCTTCCTGGACTTTCTGCCCATCAAAATAGGGAAGTATCATGACCCGCTGCAGGGAGGGTGGTTTCAGACTGATCCTCTGTGGCAAGGTCTCGGGCTAAGTGGGTGAGAAGTGAGTTAAAGGAAAGTTATATCTCGAAGCCTTTTGGTTTAGAGTGGCTACAAGAATTTCACCCTGAAAAGCCTCCTTTGCTGTTTTTGGTCCACTGCTGTAAAAAGAAAATTGGTTTCTGTCTACCCCATGGTTGACTCCCATTTTTGAGGCTGCTCCTCTGGATTAAGGAGATTTCCCACTTGCCAGATGAGCCCTTGTCCCTATCAAGAGGGATTCGGCAAGGCCTGAGTGTGTGCTCTCCTCTAGTCCTCTAGATCCCAATGTGAGCCCTGGCTCCTGTAATCCAGCCAGGCCACTAACCTGCAACCCTCCAAACTAGAGGACAGGAATGGAGTTACTTAGACGGTATGTACATCGCTAATTATATTGGGGGAATAGAATCTAGTAAAAATAAACTTGCATTGTTACCTCACAAACTTTCTCGAGGGTTGGCATCCAAGAGGTGGCAAGGTGACAGTTCTGAAGAACAACCCATGTTCCTTCCTTGATAGCTTTTTCCAACATCTTCATAGCTATGGGCCCTTGGCCTTGACCAAGAGATAAAGAACTAAGTTTTGCTCCCCCATATCCCTGTGTACAAGAATAGTAAAGATGTTATTTAAAGTCACATTTTTAAGAAGAATCAATATTATTATTACAGGGAAAGTTAACATTAAATATATTAAAATTAAATTATGTAGCATCCTTCAAAGGTCCAAACACATGCAGCCCTAAAAAGCTCTCACTGATGAAGAATCCTATAAACACTTACATAAAAACCAAGTCAGTTCATGTAGGAAACGGTATGGTAATAAGTGGAAAATTCTGTCGAGTCTTTGATCGTTAAAATAAGGGATAGAAAAAAAATGAAGAACACTTTTAACATGAGGAGGAGATGAAAGGGCCTGGCTGTCATGCAGCAACTCCTAAAATCCAAAGCCGAAAAGAAAACTATGAATAGACAGATGAACTTGTCCTGTTTCCTCCAGATCTTTGAATAATTATATTTTAACTAATTTGGCTACTGCATAAAACTCAGAGAAAAAAACATCAAGCCCCAATTCCCATTTAAAACTTTCTTTAAAGAATTTTTTGGGAATGTTTTCCTGGAATTTATTTCTACTGTATCCTGACTCATCTGCAGCTTCTGGAAACGGTGTCTGTAACTCCCTGAGCTCTGTCTTTCTAGGGCAGTTACCACTTGAAGGCCTCTTTGGAAGAGGCCTTGAGTTACGGCCACAGTGGAAGAGTAGGGTCTTGAGCCCTCTCTGAATGTCCATGGCTTATCAACACTAGCAGGTACAGCAGCAGAAAACAAAACAGAGCTAGACACCACTGTTTCTGGAAGAAGTAGAGATAGCAAGTGAAGATAATGCATTGAGCAGTCCTACACAGAGGCCAGAGAATAATCAGATTATGCAACGTGGGAAGATAAATGGAGAGGAACCAGGAAGGTCTCAAAGGGTTGGAAAGGTCAAGTTTATTTGGAGAGATTGAGTCCCACATAAATGGAAACTTCCAGCCGTCTCCACCACTTCCACTCTACCCACAGTCCCATCCACCACTGCTCTTCCTGGCCTTCCCACAGCCCCTCTGACCAGTGCCCTGCTTCCACGTTGCACCACTCAGGTCAATTCTCCTCACTCTAGCTAGAATGAGCTTTATAAATTACAGATCAGATCATGCCACCTTATTGCTTAAAACCCTACCACATCATCCCATCTTACTCAAAGTCCTTAAAGAAGCCTACAAGGCCCTGCGTGATCTCAACCTCATCTCCTTCAATGATGACAGCCATGTTCCAGCACTTCTTTAACCAATGGTGAGTACTATGTTACATATTCAATCCTCCGGTATCTAAGAATTACACTCAATGCAAAAAACATGGGGTATTAAAATATAAATTGGCTTAGTAAAGAATATTTCAACCAATTAGCTATGTTATCTTTGAGAGCCCACTTAACCTCTCCATGCTTTAGTATCCCTCTCTGTAAACTGCAGATGCCACCATTTACCTCACAGGACTGCTGTAAAAATTAAAAGAGAAAATGTGTATAACAAGGTCTAGCAAAATTAATAGTGTATATAAAGCACTCAATAAAAGTGGTGGTGGTGATTTTAGAAATATCAGTATTATTACCATAAAATGTTATTTTGATTAGACCAAAAGGGAAAAAAATCAACTCAAAAATGCCCAATCATCTGTTTATTATTATTTTCCTGTTCTGGGTTGAATGATGTAAGAAAATTTACACTAAATTCATTTGAATAATTTTTAAAACCTAGAAACATAAATACTAGACTATGTTCTAACCTGGCAAAGGGACTGTAATATATGATTATTCTGGAAAGTCAAGAAGATCTCCCTCTAGAGATTATGAGAATGGGCAGGATCAGAGAAGGTTCTCCCCAGGGTCCAGAGTCCTCCCCATTCCCCTAAAATAAAAGGAAGTGTCCCCAAACCCAAATTCTTGTTTTATAATTTGCATAAAGAGCTATTTTTACTGTTGTGCTGCCATCTAAGTATCACTTTCTTGGGACTCTGTCAACCTCTGGAGCCCCAAGTGTTTCAAGGGGTAGGTGAGTGATACATTTTGACCTTTCTCTTCTCCCTTAGGATAAGCAAGTATTGCTTTTTAAAAAAAGTTTAGCTGGCAAATCCTCTATTTATTTATTTTAATAATATCAGACAACCTCCTCCATTTTAAGATACCTGGTCATCAGCAAATTTTAGAAGGGCAGCCATGGGGTCCGCTCCAGGAGAGAGCACGAAAATCAGCGGGGAGCAGCAGTTACTGTCTGCAAACGCCTTGGATAAGTCGAAGGGGGGTGGCTCAATGAACATGCGCCCCAATCTGTTGATGATAAATTCTTGCAGCATTGGAATAATCTAGAAAGGAACAAGAATATCTTTGAAAGAATATTCAAAATCTGCCTAAAACCTTAAAAAATTCAGATTCAAAGGTGTTTGAAAACAAAGGACTCTAGCTACATTAGCTTAGTTAGTTAATCAATCATTAATGTTGGTGGAGAGTCAAAGGCATCACTTTATAGAAATGTCTTTTAGATAGAAAAAAATTATAAATTATTTAAATAACAAAAGGTGAGTGGTATTCAACACAAAGTGAAGGAAGAATATAAGAAAACTTAACTCTTTTTTTTTTTGCAGGAAAAGATTTGCCCTAAGCTAACATCTGTTGCCAGTCTTCCTCCTTTTGCCTTCCTTTCCCCCCACCAAAGCCCTGGTACATAGTTGTGTATAGTTGTAAGTTGTTCTGGTTCTTCTACGTGAGCCACCGCCACAGCACGGCTACTGACAGACAAGTGGTGTGGTTCCTCACCAGGAACCAACCCAGGCCACTGAAGCAGAGTGCTCTGAACTTTAACCTCTAGGCCATCAGGGCTGGCTCAAGAAATCTTAACTCTTTAACTTACATTTTAAAACACTGACCATGTTCCAAAAGTCTACAACTCAAAAGCAGAAATTTTAATATGATTTATACAATACTATACCATCAAGAAAGAATTGATATAGCTGGGAAAAAAAACAGAAAGAAAGACAAAGAAAAGTACTTGAAGGAGAAACAAGTCATTCTCCTGGGAAACAGGCAAAACTATATTGCATAAAATTTCTGGTAGCACACCTACGCATTTTCTGGGGGCCTGTCTGAGAAAGAGCAGGACTCTGTGGCTTGGGGGTCCCTATCAGGCATCAGTGTGGGAACGGAATTGTATTAATCAGTGCAGCTGATGTACAGCCTCAGACACATCACTCCTTCCTTCTGGTGAAGGGTCTACACCTGTTATCGCTGGACAATGGCCCCAGCTAATCATGCCTCAGGTGTGAGCCAAATAAGTGATACAGACAGGTTTAACAAACCAGTCTCCCTGTGTCTAGCCTAACAGATTGTGTAAACATATCCCAGAAAGAGGAGTAATAGAGTGACAAGAATACAAAGAAGTTTTTAAAGGCCCCAGAATCACTCAGACTAGACACTTGCTCGTATCCAAAGATCGAATTGTGTGTACACACAAATTAGGTCAGCAATTCCACCAGCAAATAACATTTCTGAACTTGCAGCAAATTGCAGGAACAATTTTCAGATGCCAAGTATTTCAAAAAGATGGTCTCCTCCTTTCCTCCAGGAAAAAGTTACAAGTATTTCCAAACTTTAATTGTGTATTCTCTGGAACATCTATTCACACAAGGCGTGTAAGTAAAAATCATTGACATGTCACAATGCCTTAAAAAGTGTCAATCCTGGTGTGAATGTGTGGGTGTCACTGAGGGTATGAGGGCAGGGAGCCGAGAGACAGTGAAGGAATATCTGGGCTTAAATTAGATTTTTTAATCCCTCCCCAATATTTCTCTAGGTTCATTCAAATATGGAAAAGGTATGGAAGAATAACAACAGATTTATAAGTGCCATGTTGGCAAGGACCTACCTAACAAAATGACTCATATGTTGTTCGTGTGCAATAAATATCTATTGAACGCATGAACGGAGAAAAGCTCAGGATGCCTCCTTTTGTGAGGGTGGGCTTCTAATTACAGAAATTCTAAACAAAAGTCACAGAATGATAAATTCACCTATACATAGAATTTCATTTCTAGATCAGTTATCTCATGGTTCAGACATTTTGATTGGGCACAGATGTCAAGCTTATTGCAGGAAACTAAAAATATCCTAACTGCCTATCCCAGCCTCGCCCCCTCCTCTTCTCCTCATTACTCTTCTCCTTTAGCTGGTCTTTTCTCACTAGATTAACAAAAACAACTAACAAAAGAAAACAAAACTTTTTCTCATAACCTCTTTCCTCCCAAGGCTGACTTCTTCACTAAATTATAGTTTTACAGACAAAATGAAAACACGTGGCTTTTAAGTGCAAGGTTTTACTTTTCCTAAGTGTGACTTACACATGGCCCCTCTTTTGAGAGCAGTTCAGGCCACCACACACGTGCAGACATGGCTGGTGTGAAGTGATTCTTCTGCTAGAGCTGGAGGACCAAGTTAGGGGTGCTCACATGGCAGGGAGCACAGAATTCAGTGTTTCATTGTTAAGGTTAAAACGGAACAAGACTTGCTTGCTCCCAAGCAAGCAAGCTGAACTGTAACTCCCAAGGTAAATTAAGCTGTGCTAGTTATTCAGTTTGTAAGGCAGTAGCATTAGGTTCGCTTCTGCAATCTGATTATGCCAGCATTAGGTTTGTGAAATGAAATCTGTCAGTAACAAAAATTACAGACTAATTTAGGCAACCATCTACCCAAGGCAGGAAAGAAGTTTGTGGTCTTTCCTTTATGTTTTTCTATTTATTGCAAGTTCCTATAGGATTTATCTGAGCTCAGAAAAACATATTAACTTACATTTGACAAGTTTCTTATTGAAAGCTGAAAAGAAAGCTGATTAACTTACTTTTTGCTTACAGTTCACAAGGAGAAAACTGTGGCCAGAAGCCACATTTTGTAAATGGACTCAAAACATTCCACACCCCAATATTTATCCATTTGATACATTTCTTTTGTCAATAAAACACTATAAAATGTTAAATTCTAAAGGAAGGTGCAAGCTCATCTCATTTTTCCTACTGGTGATTTAGGGAGCATCTGCTGCATTTTTCCAAACTAGAGCATCAGAAAACCTGGCGTTTGTGGCTTCTTACCACTGGGTGCAGTTGGTTTTCAGGGGAGAGCATGGAAAGAAGACAAAAAAAATTGTGCTGACAAAGTATACTGTAAGCTAGAGATCAAGCATTTGCTGATCTTCCTGGTGGACATATATTATCTCATATCTTAGAGACAACAAAGAAATAAAATCTAGATGGTGCAGCCCAAATATCAGTTCCATATAGCGCTATTCTTTTCCCTCGTGTGTTATTCTTTTCCCTCGTGTGTTATACCATTTTACTTTGGGAAACCACTCTTTCAAAAGCATAAAGCCATACATTATTTAAAAATACATAGATTCCCAAATCAACAATTCACCACTAGAAATTGGAGCACCTGGTAACAGCAAGATTGAAGGGTCTGAGGTTGCTGGATAATGTCAGAGCATACCAGTAGTTATTTTTATATTAAGGACTAGGGTGTGGTAGTATAGATAATGCTAACCAGCCGATGGCATCACTTGGGATAAACTGAGTTATGCCCAATTTCCGGATCTCAGTGGCTTAACACAACAAAAGCTTATTTCTTGTCCCTGCAAAGGAAACTAACCGTCCGTGTGCTGGCTAAGCACTCTAGCTTCCTAAGGGCCGTTAAATATCAACACATGATCCCACAGTTCTGATGGCAGGGAGAGTGCCCTGGAGAACCTCACACTGGCAGTTAAATGCTTCTGCCCTGACACTTCTGCTCATGTTGTATTGGCCAAAACAAAGTGTATGGTCACAGTCCCCTCGCTTGAGTGTGCGCAGGAGAGGAGAACCAGGAATATGGGTGAGTAGCATTAATGTCTACACTCGTCCACCTATCCAAGGTGATATGGAAACATACAGGAAAACGTTACACGACAGGGTGCTAGAGTGTTGGACAGAGCAGCTGAGAGAAGTAAGAAACCGTAAGTTGAACTTCAATTGATTTAAAAACAAACAAAAACCCCTCAGCTTGAATATCTAACTCCCCACTTCTCTCAAATACACTTTAAAAAGAGAATAAATATGGAAAGAAACATTTGATCTATTTGGTAGCTCAAAGTATTTTCAAATTAAAATGTCAAATTTTTTCAAACATAAAACTGAGGACAAGATATTTACAGATGAAACTGCTGCAATTAGGAAATGGCTCATTAATCACTGTTCATTGAACTTAACATAAAACATGAACAGCGGTTTCTTTGTTTTTCAGATATTGAGGGGAGAGGTCCAGGGTACGTGCAGAGTCATTCTAGTATAACAGTCTTTATCTAGCTTAGAAAACAGTGAAAATCTGAAAATTTTAATGAAAAGCTTTTAAAAGGGGAAGCCATATAAGGCAAGAGTTTGAAGCATTTTATATTCTTTCATATTCATTACTTGAAATGAAAACTTCTGAGCCTTAACACTCAAGTTTCAGTGGAGATTCATTTCTAAAAGGGCTACCAAGGGGGAGGATGTTTCATCAACTTAACAATGATGCCTCAAGAACTGTAGTTCCTTCCAGCACCTAAGCACAGGGCAGCATTATGACCATCAAGGGCCCTGAGCACTTCATGGGTCCCCTCCGCCATAAAAAAATATTAAAAATTACATTTTACAATTGTTTTGGTATAATTACAAATATAATACAGACTGGATTATAGTCTCTGTTTTAAAAGAAATTAAAACATTTTCATGGACCCCTAAAAGTGTCGTGGGCCCTGGGCACTGTGCCTAATGGATACTTGGGCCCTGGCTAAGAGTGTACTGCCAAGTCAAGCAAGAATTGCGTGTTCATTGAACAGACTACAGCTTACAGAGGAAAGAATGCCTGTACCCTATATTATCACTGATGTGTATAAAATATATTTTAAAAAATGTATTGCTTTCACCATCTAAGTTCTGCTTTTTTTTTGTTAGGATGGAAGTATTGTCTTATATTCCTTAGTGACTCAAATTGTGAGTACAGTAAGTTTTGAAATAATTATATATTACTTTAACTTGAGTAGTAATAACGGACAATTAGGATTTTTTTTCCAACACACTTAATGTCTACATTTTTCAGAGTATATGGGCATCTCTGTGGATATAGGTCATTATACTTACATGAAAAGTTTTTTTTTTAAATAGAGTATAATAACACAAATGAGGATGTGAACGAGTACTGAAATTTTCTGACATGACAGGTCAGCTGATTTGCTGGTTATATAATTTACTATTTAAAGAAATTAAAACTAGCAGTATTGACATTTTCCTTTGTAGTCAGCAATGATGAATGTCTTAAAAACAACACTCTACTAGCTTTCCAAAGGCCAACAAAGAACTATTTATAAAAATAGCATTTAAGGAGCCAGAAAAATCTAGCACATCAGCTTGATATTAACACCATTGACTAATTTCATCAAAGTAATAAGAATAAAAATGAGATTACAGGGGCCGGCCCGGTGGCTTAGCGGTTAAGTTTGCGTGCTCTGCTTCGGCAGCCCAGGGTTCGAGGGTTCAGATCCCAGACATGGACCTACACACCGCTCATCAAGCCATGCTGTGGTGGCATTCCATATACAAAAATGGAGGAGGATTGGCACAGATGTTAGCTCAGAGACAATCTTCCTCACCAAAAAAAAAAAAAGAGAGAGAGAGAGATTATAGCATGTAAAGGGAGTAGATTGTGAGGAACTGTGGAAGCATAAGTTAAAAGGAAGAATCATAAAATAAATAAAACTATAAAATATAATCTGGTCAGTTACTAATTTAGTGTGATTTTAATAAATATACAAACTTTTTGAAAAATAGCTGCATTAGACGGCAGTGGGGTTATTTCGCCTGGGCTCCTCGTCCTCCCCTATGATTACGTAAGGAAATGCATGTTTGGCTGGACTGTAGAGAGAGGAAAGACTGGAACTATTGAGCTGCTTTCAAAGCCCACCTTTACCTTGTCTGGCCTCAAGCAACGAATGATAAGCATCCTTTGAAACTCATTTGCTCTATCTTCCCAATTGTCAGGAAAAACCTCATGGTGTGGTTCCTAAAATTACAGTGGATATAATTCAGTGTTATTTTGGAGATTATTTCTAAAAAGAACAGTATTTTGACTTATAAACCAATTTTTAGAGAAAACATGTAATGACTAAATGAAGTCAGGAATGTTAATGTAAATTTTATTAGATTGGCGCAAAGTTATGAAATAAGGAATGAAAAGAAAATTTAAAACACCATGAAGGAATCAAAACTAGGACACGAATTAAGCAGGTTAATGTCAATATGACTACTAACCAATAGACAAAATGATCCCCATTATGAAAAAAATTAATGTGCGTATGGAGCTTTTTTCCCATTATTTCTCCAAAAGCATTTTAAAAACCTACCAACTACTCTCATCATATATTTATAAAAATAAACACTTATTACAAAAAAAGTAAGAAGGGCATTGTACTGAAATTTATTGTGTTATTTCTTGTTTTGAACAGTTGTTTTGTATCTTCTTTACAAAGGGATATTCGAGAATGTGTATGAGTAAAGCGAAGAGAGAGAGCTATTAAAAATATACAAGAAGAGAGGCATCAAGATCCCAGGAGGAGGGGCAAACCTTAGGAAAAAAGGAGATATTTGTACCTTTGAAACATCAGAGAAGGCTATGTGGTGTCTCAGATCAGAAATCTCCATGCTTCAGCATAGTGGGTGAAATTTCTAAAACATATTTGTCTCTAGGAAACATATTTTTATTACTTACAAGGAGAGATCCAAAAGAGATCCAGCCCAAAACATGTGAATTCATGTGCAGACACAATCTTACTATCATGTATAATACAGCAAACACGTAACCAAATAAAAAGCATTCTCCACATATCTGGCTCTTCCTCTCCTCCTCCAAACAGAGCTCTTGCATATTAAACCCAAGGAGAGCAGAATATCAAGAGAGTAGAAACAAAGGAATGGAAAAAATGAACTGGGAATTGGCAAAACATTAGCTCTTGTGCTAAAGAAAATTGAGGAAGGCAACAATTTCCATGTATTCCAGAAGGGAAACTGTGAGTATCATGGTGTGTGTTAACAATAATAGTCTCCAATTAGCAAGACAGGGTCTCATGAAAATTATTTGAGAACTATCAGTTTTTCCCTCTCCTCAAAGGACAAAAATATTTATTAGCTTGTATACTGCCTTCAGAAAATCTAAATAATAGCTGATTTGTAAAATTTTAACTCATCTGCTATTATGACCACTCAACTCTAAATTGGTCATAAATAAAAACGTGGCATAGAAATTCAAAAAGGATATTTTTAAAGGACCATGCAGCTTTTTTGCATCTGCACACATTTCAAGGAATTCAAAAAGAAGTTCAAACAGAACCAATTTAGAAGGTGGGGATAATATACATCAAAACTTTGATTTTAACATCTGACCAGTTGTTTAAAACATACTTAAATCTTGCTTTTATTCAAAGAGAAGAACAAATTATTTAATATTATTTTCTCCATTTAAAAACTTTGGACTAAGCAAGAGGGTTAAAAACATACCAAACTATCATATACTTTTTTCCACCCATCCTTTAGGTTCATAAACTCCCTACGAATGGTTTTGAAGGCAGGCAAATCATCCAGTCGACATATTTCATCCCAGGATTTTTGAGGCAGCCATGTACAAGGGTTGGCATGAGGATTATCCAGTCCAATGCCACCAGTTAGCAGAAATCTCCACTCAGCTTTATTAATCTTCGGAAGACAAAGCAGCACAGGGTCAGAAACGAGTTCATCATATACATAGCAAACTGAGAGCCATTTTAAAAGATTGACTGTTGATTTCAAGTTTCATCAAGTATGATACCTATGAAATCCTATAGCTACTGATACAGCTCAACATTTATCCATAAGAAACCAATGTATCCATTAAAACCAGTTTTCAAAATAGCTGCTTTTTCATAATTTTCCTCTAGAATTACTAATCTAAACATGAAAATCTGAATATATTCTATTTGAATATACGTTTTCCAAAATGACGCCTTAGAGTCCTATTGAGTCTAAAAATTGTCAGAAGTCAGACAGCCATCAACCTGCTATGTTTTCAGTTATTTTCTATAAAATATAGAGGTACTGCTATGAAATTTTGCAAGAAATGCAAAAATGAAGCTTTCACCTCTTCGGAATTCAACAAATACATCACCACATAAAATCAATAAATCTTAAACACACAAGTGTATAAAATAGTGAATTTAGACAACATTTCTTTTTCATTCTCAAAGTGCTTCCTATATTTTAAATGAATAGATTTAAAACACAGTAAAACTTTATGAAAGGTATTGTTCAGCCCAAATAGTTAGATTTGACCAACTTGCACAAGTTCTTAAAAACATTACCATTTATACTGTTATAGTTGGTGTAAATATATCAATATATTTAGTAAATTTCTAATCCTACTTATATGAGAGTCTAACAGAAACTAATTTATTTTAAACTAAAACATACAAAAGTTGAAGTAATAGTTACATAATGAAGTCTGTGCTTAATTTATTTTTCACCTTTGTGAAACTCAGTCTAGTTGTGACATCTTGGTCTTAACTATAATAATAATAATTATTATTAACTATTACAAGCCTTTTTTATATATTCCCACACAAATTACTAAATTAATGAATCAATATTAATCCAGGTTTGTTTTTTTTCCCTACAAATGAAAACAGTACTGACCGCACGATCGTGTAGCAGCAGATTTACAGTCAGACAAAAGGAAAAGAGGAGCTTATCCTTTTCAAAGAGTGACCGGCAGACATTAACATAGAGGGAATAAGTAAAGTGATCCTTGAGAATTTGAAGCCTAAGGGCCAACAGAAAGAAAAGTAAGTTAATAAAAATGCATTATACTTTAAAGAAAATGCTCTTAAGGAAAATTATTATAAACCATTTAGATGTATGTTCTTCTAATAAGTTTTCTGGTTAATTACCCCCCAAAACAATCAAGGATCCTCATTAACTGGGTGCACCAATTTGAGAGCTACGCAATGTAGGAACACTTCAGTAGAACTGCATTCTACTGTCAACTGATTTTTTTTAAAAACGTAATCTTCCTTTTAGAAAAGTCAACACGTGATTTATTAATCTATTACATTTAAAGGTTTGTGGACCATTTTTAACTATAAAACATTTCTTGGGGTAAAATTTGACTTCCTTATTCCAAAATACTTCCAAGTGTTCTCTATTATATTTTAAATGAACAGACGAAAATTAATAGCTCCTTTATTAAATTAAGATAGTAGTGTGTTACTCTGCTCATAAATCCATAAAAGCTGGGGAAATCACAAGGCTGGATAAACTACATTTTTATTTACCATGCAGATGAAACAAAGACATATGGATAATTACAATATTTGCAACTAACAACTTTCTAGTAAGTGCTAACAAGTATGATCTGTATTCATAACTCCTTTTTTTTTTTTCCTGAGGAAGATTAGCCCTGAGCTAACATCTGTGCCAGTCTTCCTCTACTTTATATGTGGGACACCACCACAGCATGGCTGGTGAGTGGAGTAGGTCTGTGCCTGGGACCTGAACAGGTGAACCCAGGCCACCGAAGCAGAGCGCACAGAACTTGAACCACTCGGCCACAGGGCTGGGCCTTCATAATAATTCTTAACATGAATATAACACCTTAAGCATTTTCACTTAATTATCTCATAAGGGAAAGAAACTATCATCAAAATAAAAATTTTAAAAATATTTATATTATACAGGTTATAATAGTTATAATAGAAATAAACAGCTGGCTAAAAACATTTGTAGAGAGCTAATGATTGACACGGATTAATGGCCCAAACTCTCTAAGCAGATCAATTTATCCGAAGGAAAAATTAGCATAGTTTGATTATGATTAAGAAAATTACATTGGTGTTTCTAAATGTGTCTAGAAAAAAAAAAACCTACCAGTACAACCATATTTTGGGTATTTCCAGATGGATATCCTAGGCTATCGATCATCCTAGCTCTATTTTTTTTCCTACCTGCCTATTTCTTTAACTATTTTAACCTCTGCCAGCACTCTCATAAAGAGAATCACAACAAATTGATGTATTATATTTCTAGTTGAGAACTCTGAAAAGGGGCTTGGTAGAGAGGACCTTGAAACTAGTTGCTGAAATATAGTTGAATTCTTTGAAGATTTAAAATAATCATACTATTCCTGTCCCCATTTCTATGCTAAAAGATGGTCTTTTCACACTGGCATTTAATTTGCCTCATCTGTAACTGTACAATTAATACAGGGTGACTCAGATTTGCTCTTTCTAGAATAAAATAAAAATTTCTGCACTTTAAGACAAATTTCCTCTTGCAGATAGGAAGATCAAAGTGAAAATTATAAGGGCCAATCATATTAGAAATTCAAGTTCAGTCTCATTACTGTTACAGGGAAAAAGACGATAAAAATTATCACTCTCAATGCTGATGTGTGATACAGTGATATAAGATCATTCACGTTCCTCCAATGGAAGTGTACATTTGAATAACCTTTCAGGAAAGGAATTTATATCAGGAGTCTGAAAGAAGTGAACACTTTTGTCCTAATTTTGGATTTCTAGCCTAAGGAAATAATCAATGATGTGGACATTTATATTTACTGCAGCATTATTTATAATACAAAAGCTGGAGACTACTTACGAGTCTTAACAATGAGAAAATTATGGTATATTCATAAAATGGTATAGTGTGCAGCTACTAAAAATTATGTTTCAGAAGAGGATTTAATAACATGGGGGAAATGATCTTGATTTTTCCTTCCTAGTGGAAGGAAAAAAACTCTGTGTGTGTGTGTGTGTGTGTGTGTGTCCTTACATGTGTTTCCTAGAGATAGAGAGAGAGAAAGCACAAGATTTCCATTTGGTCCCTGTAACAAAGCTATATCCTAATTAGATTTTTGTTTCTGTACTTATGTATTTTTTTTGCTAAAGTTATTTATTTATTTTGCTATAATAAATTCTGATGCATTAAAAATTTTATAAAAAACAGATGATTTAAATTTTTAAGGCTATTTCACAGAATATACCACAGTAGTTATAACATAATGTATGTTTGGTGTCATAGCTCAAGGATAATTATTATGGATAATCACCATCGGAAGACAAACAAAAATGAAATACCTTTTTAACTCTGAGTAAAGGATATGAGAGATAATTTTAGACCAATATTAAGATTCTAAAACAATTCAGTAGTCTGGTGTTAATAGTTACATGCTTTCTATGCCCTTGGTATAGCTATAGTCTAATAGCTGATTAAAGTCTACAGGTTATCTGATGTTTATCAATGATTCACAGATAAACAAATGATTCTTATTAGAACTCATTCCATCTTATTTTCTGAAATGGGAACTAGCTTCTTAACTGGAAACTCTTCTTTTACGAAAGAAGGAAATAAAAAGATTAAACAAGACTGGCTAAAAGATTCTCTTTTGCTGTAGCCACTTGGGAATTCTATTTGGCAGTATTTACTGAAACGGAACATATGCGTACTCTGTGATCATCAATTCTACTCCTGGATGTGTACCTACTAGAAATGTGTACAAAAGCCAAGTACAAGAATGTTCAAGGCAGCAAAATTTTATAATAGCCCCAAAATGGAAGCTACCCAAATGTCCTCAACAGTAGAATGAACAAATAATTTGTGGTACAGTGTAAGGACAAATAAAAGTTAAAAATAAGAGGCACGGGCCGGCCCCATGGCTTAGCGGTTAAGTGAGCGAGCTCCGCTGCTGGCGACCCAGGTTCGGATCCCAGGCGCGCACCGACACTCTGCTTCTCTGGCCATGCTGAGGCCGCGTCCCACGTACAGCAACTAGAAGGACGTGCAACTATGACATACAACTATCTACTGGGGCTTTGGGGGGAAAAAATAAATAAATAAAATTATAAAAAAAAATAAAATAAAATAAAAATAAGAGGCTTAATTTTCCCTATTGAAAATAAGGAAAGAGATTTCTCTCCCCTCTTTTTCTTAGAGCATTTACTTTTGAAAACTTAAAATTATAAGTACTTTCTTCTCTCTCTGAAATATATATAAATCATTTTGAAAACTAGCTGGGTCTTTTGTCAACTTTATGGCTCAAGACTGTCTTTCTCAATGCCCTGGGAGCCATCTCTTTGAAACATAAATGCCAGGGGAGATAGCGCCCCTCTCTCCCAGTTTCTGTGGGAGGGTAGGAGCCTAACCTCAGTGGGGACCTGGCTCCAAGTTGCAAAACTACCTCCTGACATAAAGATGAGAGATGTTTGTGTTTCCTCTGGATAAAACCAGTTTGCTAACAGATGGTCACCTCCATTAGCAGATACAGTTAGGGTGAGATTTCTGTCTCTGAATCTCCTAGTCGATTGCCTGTGATTTGCCTCACATTCTGGTTTAATGATTAGTCAATAATACAAATATTTTCTTTCTCTACTACCTTTGTGGAGAAAATTTCTGGCTTTGAGAGATAATTTTGCTTTTAGACTTCCTCAACAATGTACTAGCACAATGGAATACTATTTATCAATGAGAGGGAATAAACCATTGCACGAAACAATATGAATTTCACAAACACAATGTTGAGTGCAAGATGCCAACACAAAAGAGCACATACTGTGTGATTCCATTTATATGACGATCTCAAACAGGTGAAACTAACCTATGGCGTTGGACATCAGGACAGTGATTACCTTGGGGGAGAAGGTTAGTCACTAGAAGGGGACACGAAGTGGGGTTTCCAGGCTGTTGATAATGTTCTATGTCTTGATCTGGGTGCTAGTTACACAGGTATGCTCGCTTAATGAAAATTCATTGAGTAAATACTTCTGATTTCTGCATGTTTCTGTATGTATATTAATAACTTCAATGAAAGTTTTCAAGAACATTTTCTCTACTTACTCTTTGGTTCCAGAATTATACTTTTAGGATCACTGTAGTCACAAAAATGATTTTCATTGTTTCTAAATTAAAGGATTTTAATTAAAAAGTAAAAGGCATATTTTGTTTTCTAGATTTCATCCCAGTCACAGCTGGGTAAAAGGATTTGATTTTCTATAAATTGTAAGGGATTCTACCACAGTTATGAAGAAACAATGTCATATCTGTGGGTGAGTTCTAATTTGATATAACAAGAGATAATAAAGGAACCAATCATTTTTAAAGCATAAAATTGTTCTAATTTTTAAATCTTGTACACAAAATATGTCTGTAAGTGACAGAGCAAAGAAATGTTCTCCTCTAGACTCCAGCAAATACCTTGATTTTAAACTAGTTAAGATGATAACGTTCTGGTGGTTATTGCTTTAACCAAGGTAGAAATTAAGAACTGCAGTGAAAAGCAGAACGTCATTGACTGTGTGGCTTCACGTGATTGGCACTGTGATAAGTTCTGGGAATATTAAAACAAAAATCCTTGCCTCAGGAAACTCAGAATCTAGTGTGAAAACCAGACATGCTTGTTCAATTAACTAACATAATGCAAACAGCTGGGAACTTTTCTAAGACAGGTCACTTAAAATTTTGTTTTCTGTATTTCAGTAATCCCTGCTAACCTTGAAAATTTCAGACACTGGAAGAAATAGAGAAATAAACTAAACATTTTCAAATACTATAATATAAAAACAAACTTTACACTCTACCATCATGCCTTTCTTCCCTAAAGAGACCCCCTCCCTCCCTCTCTTCCCTTTCTTATAGCACACGTCTGAAAAATTGTTTGCTAAGCCAAGTGTTGGTCTTACACTTTTACCAGTCTCATAGTCAAGCTTAAAATAATGAATGATACTGAGAAAAAACTGCTCAGTCTAAGAATATTCAAAATTTAGTAAAATTATGATAAATGAAAGGAATTCGATTCAGATTTCAAAAGATTAGCATTTTGGATTTCTAAAATATAATTCTTAACTGTGATAAGTATTGAGTTTCCTTTGTGGGTACAAACAGTCAAGAAACTGAAGTATCTAGATCCATATTGATCAATAACATTATAAAGGGCAAAGGTTGCAATTAATTATTTTCTTTGTTCAAGAAGTAATTTCATGTTAGACTCTATTAAAAACATGTTTTAATACGAATCTAAAATTTCTCACTGATAACAAATAAAATGAAACTTTATTCTCTCAGACTTACTATTAAGTAAAGTCTTAATTCCATTACTTTTTGTAAGAGCCAACAGTAAAATAAGTTATTTTACGTAAATAACAATAACAATTGCAACAGAGTATTTTTTAACTCTGTTACTTGACAAATTTTTTATATGTGTATATCAAAATGTGAATTTGTAACTTTTGTAATGCAAGCTTACACAGGGCAAGAGTCATGTCTTTTAGGGGTATTAATCACTCTTTCCATACCTCCAATCATAAACACATTTTGCAAATGATACACAGAGGTAAATGTTTCCTGTTTTTAGAATTACAGTATAATCCTGTAGCTCTGTAAACAGTTTCCTGGCAGCCTGAATTTGGTCACATCTGTTCAATTTCCAACTCTCAAATTTATTTCTGGTACAATGATTAATCAAGTTCATTTTAGCTATGTGACTGTAATGCTCACACCATTCTGAAACAACGATGAAAGCCACCAACTACTATTTAATTTTCATGCATTAATTAGTTAGTATTAGTATTAATTAGTATTTCATTTACATACCTTTTTGCTAAAATTTCTGACTTCTCTGAATTTTCAATAGACAGGATGAAAAGGTTAATAAACCAAGTCAGTGAGTATTGGTACATGGGCTCAATGTTAGCTAAATCAGCAATAGAGAAAAACAGGATGGTGGAATGGACGGCAATAGGACGATAGCCCATGCGGGTGGTATCAATCTTTTTCTCTGTCTCTTCCGCTACTTCCTGCTTTTGAGAAATCTCATTAGCCAAAGCCTTGGAGGAAGATAATATCTTAATAGCAGTTTCATCTTCTAATATATTGCCTTCCGAAGATGAAAGAACTTCTAAAATCTTGTCTTCTATTTCTTTTAACTGCCTGGAATAAAACACAATTTTCTCAGAAGAAAAAGAAATCTAAAATCACTTCACATGTACATTCTTTTATAAGAAACAAAGAGCTTGTAACCTAAAGAAACGCATCACATTGTGACAAATATACGGAACAGTGATGCTGTATAATTAATTTCTTATCTTGCAAAATGTCAAAAAGAGAGGTCTTGCTGCTCTGCTTCTCTTTCTAATGATCATTTACGTGGTAACTAGAGAGAGAGACGGTAAGCCAATCTACTCTGCCATCAAGCATCTCAGGCCCGAGTGAACAGAAAGAATAAATTACTCCATTTGTTTTCTGAAACTTTTCATGACTTATAGAGCTTTACCCTTTCTACCTACTATATAGATATAATGAGCAGAAAGTGGGATGCAACATATTCATTCAGCTTGTGCTCCAGTGAAAACAGGTAACCTCGGTTACATAATGAATACTAAAACTTCAGCGTTACAACTTTGTTGAATAGTTGAAAATACATTGCCTTGACTTGTGGCAAACCTTCTAGGTCTTCCAGAGCCTAAGAACTTGCATGCAAAAATACATGGTATAATGCAATTTTCCAAATTTACATAGAGGCATTGTAATACCTTACATTTTCCTCTTAAATCTTCCCAGTTTATTAAATCTAAAAAAATAGACCTTTAATTTTTATTTTATTTATTTAATTTTTTTGCTGAGGAAGATTCACCCTGAGCTAACATCTGTTGCCAACTTCCTCTGTTTTGTATGTGAGCCACCTCCACAGCATGGCCACTGATAGACAAGTGGTGTAGGTCTGTGCCCACGAACTGAACCAGGGCCGCCAAAGCAGAGCACGCTGAACTTAATCACTAGGCCACCAGGGCTGGCCCAAAACAGATCTTTCAAATGTACTTTAATTCATTCTAAGTGATCTTGAAATGACTGAAATAATTCTGTGTTTTATAACATTTAAAACCTTTTGTTTTCAGCTCCTTGTGATATTAAGGCTTGCTTCTCTTCTTCAAGGTCAGGCCTCTCTCGTGCCACCACAATTCCCAAAAGCTGATCTTGCATTCCCTCAGAAGTTATCATGAAGTTTAATAGTGTTACCTATAAATGAACAAATATACAAAAATCACATCATTATTTCTATCAAGAAAGCCTGTGCTCATATGCTTCAAGTTCTGACCTTACTCTATTTCCTACAGTAGTATGTGTGAAAAGTAGAATTTGTAGAGACTCTGATTAAAGATATAGGCAAGCTTGATTGGGGCTTAAAAACCCACTAAGGTTTCTCATAGTCATAAATGTAATACTTCAAAGGGTTTTGTTTGGTGATCAATTTATTCTTATTTCAAACTGGTCCAATTTCTGACAACTATTTAATCCCCAAACCAATTAGAATCAGGTTGGAAGCCATCCTTCATAGCGGCTGGACTAGCTGATTTATATCTTAAGGATCCTAGTCGTGTCAAAAAATAAAGGAAATCTCAGAGAGTGAATAAGAGAAAAAAGAACACTGTGATTACTTGTCATGAGAAAAGTATATGTGTTATTTACAATCTGATCATCATATTGCATCTCATAATATAATCATATTACAATATGGTATTTACAGCATAATCATGAGCCACTATTGTGAACTAAGGAATGTACACGTCAATGGTGTCCATCAAGACGCAGTCTGCTAATAAACGCCTCATCCCGGTACCTAATGGTTCTTACCAGCAGGTCTCCCTTGGTTGCCTACGTCTTAAAACTCCCCCTCTCTTGGTTCGTTCACATGAGTGAGAAAGTAATCATGCTCAGGTCTCTCCTTTTAAAAAGCGAACAACAAACAAATAAATCATTCTCTTGCTCTCACAATCCCTTTCAGCTATGGAACCATCTCTCATTGTGTCTTCATTGAAGGCACACAATCTCTCTTTGTGCCTGCTTGTTGAAAATGTGATTTATATATGCCTTGTGTCTCCACCTCATTTCATTCTTCAGCCCTCTACAATCCGCTTTTACCCGGCCTCCGCACACCCATCAATGTTCACAAAATAAACTATAGAAACTTGCTGGCTCTGGTTACCAGTGAACCGGTAAGCTAATAAACACTTACTTGACCTTGGGTGAATTTGAAACACCCTCCCCTTTTTCTAACAGCTATTTTGCTGTCTGCCTGCCCTCCTGTCTTGAGTTAAGGTCTGCACCATGTCTTGAGCACGACCTCCCACTCCTGCCTTTCACGTGCCTTTCGTTTTAGCTACGCTGAGCTGGCTGTGGGACCCTGTACACACTGACCATGAAGCGTCCACCTGGGCTTCAGCTCTGGCTGCTGACTGGGAGACCTTGTGTTTCCCTGCCTTTCCTAGTAAGAGAATATTTCTTCTGCAGGAACAGAGAAATTTTGTTTTTGTAAGACAATTTCCTAGCTGTGATCAGGAAGTGTAAAACAGCTTCGTCTGGCAACCCCAGGAAGGCGACTCCCTCCTCCGCCCAAACCCGGGTACCTTCTCCTGGTGCTGTCCTCTGGGCTCGACTCGCCCCCCTCACCTGCCCCGTGGCGGGCCTGGGATGCCACCACGTATAGATTACAGCAGCATAATCGTAAATTTAGATGAGATAATAAACAATTCTTGAAATTGAGCAATTCAAAAAACTCATTAAATGTTGTTATGTAATTCTCTACTGCTTTGGCATTTATTCATGGGAAAATTATAATTAAAGCTTTCAAGAGATTCTCCCTGTTGGCACAAGAAGCCAAGCGCACAGGTTACATTTGCTCTAATCCCAAGACTACAGTCCCAGTGTTAGTGAAACGCATGTTTTACGACTTGCACCTCATTGTATTCAGATACAAAGAGGTATTCATTCATGTGCCATTATTGCTCCATCCTTCAAGGTCAACATTTTGCAAATCTAGCCACTCGCTCACAAATAAACATTTAAAATCATACAAATATGGTTTCATAATTTTATTTTCATTTAGAGTCTAAAGCATAATAGCAGCATGATATCACCCCTTGGGGGCTTTTTAAAGCAAAGGTACATAAAAGATCCTAAAAATAGGGTCAAGAAGAAGTATTTTAATTTATAAATGAAAGCAAGTAACTGCCTCACCATGTTTTCTAATCCCTGTTTAATCAATCCCAGCAATTAAAAATAACGAAGCAGCCAGACCCTCCAGGAATCTGAAGGATTTCGATACTGAATCATAGATCAGTTTCCTCCCCACAGCGGTTTATGACTTCTACTATAACTAGTTATTAGTGAACAAAGAATTATGTTATTTGTGATATTTTCATAGATTTTATTGAAAAGCAAAAAAGGTTTTCCATGTCATTTATTTAAAAAAAATTTTTTTCGTAACACAGCTTTGGGATTTTATCATTTTCTTTTATGTTTCATTCTTTTTCGCTTATATTTAAAAGTTAATAATGATGCTAATAGTTAACACTCGTATAACACTATGTGCTGGGTTATTCTAAACATTTTACATAGATTAATTTATTTAGTCTTCACATCACACTATGAGATAGAGGTGTTTATTATTCCCACACAAACTAGGGAATTGAGGCACAAAGACGTTAGATGACACCGCCACTGTCACACGACTGGCAAGTGATAGAGCTGGGATACGAACCGAGATCGTCTGGCTACAGAATCCACGCTCTTAACTACTACTGGATACTGCCTTTCCCAATAGGTATATAGATACACAACTTTTAGATGTTTAGACAACATATTGTATTTTAATTAATTAAAAACAGTGGCCAAGGATTTCCATATTTTAACATTGTGTTTTTAAAACTAAGCTCAAGGGACGCCCCACCTTCCCCTAGTCTTTCCTGCACCCCTGAATGTCCAGTCTAAGGTGTGTGCCTAACTCTGAGCTCCCCTCTGTCTTCCTAGTCATAAGTAAGGTCACTTTACCCACACATCATTTACAATGTAAACCTCTTGAGAGCAGGGACCATGTTCATTCATCTTGAAGGGAATGAATTACATCATCTTAGCGCTTCCTCTGCCTCTCTGCAGACAGATGTCTATGTTAATTTAAAAATCTCCAATAAAGGACAGTGTTTAAACTCCCTGGATAAATCTTGTCTCTATATGTAACTTTCAAAATCTGAATCAATATTTCTTAATGTCCTCTCCTGCTAGCTTCTGTAAATGAAAGCTATCCCTTCCTCCCTCACTCACTCATTTTGCTTGTTTCACAAACATTTATTGAGTGCCAACAAAGACTAAGAATTGGGAATAAAAAAATAGAACAACCTTCAGGACTCAGTTGCAGATCAACGTTTCAAGTCATTTTAGTCATTGACTAAAACTTTCAACTAACTTTATTCTTTAAAGGGATTTTTAGTATTTTAAAAGAACCAGTCATCGAAAATGGTTCTTTCAAGTAATTATATAAAATCAGATAGCAGCAACCTTATTCTGAGAAAGAAGAATGGAGTTCTGTTCATAAATTCCAATTCCAAGAATTAGCATATTATCATTTATTACAAAGAAAGAATTTGCATATATGTCATCTATTTTTAACAATGAAAATCTAAGAATAATATCAATTGTAAAAATTAGATTCTCATGGTCTTTTTTCACTGCACACTGAAGGCTCTTTTATTACTTACATGCACACACAAAAGCAACATTTGGAAATTATCATAGTAATTTCAGGAAATGCAAGGACAAAATCCATTTTTCTTAGGAAGACCTGTTCTTCTTACGGCTCAGGAGGAAAATGCAGTCATTAATGATAAAATTTGATAAAGAAACATTCATTTTAGATACTGGCCTTTACTGATGTTTCGGGAAGATAATGAGGATTTCTTAGCTTGGTGGTAATATAGAAGCGGAAGTCTGGTGCATACTCAATGGTGGAATCCCCGAGTCGGATACATGTACTCCCACCTTGCTTAAAGGTCTGCTTTAGTAGAAGAGGTTCCAGGATCGGATCTAATTCTTCTCCAACATTTTCAAGCAACACTGCAGTAAAATCAGAAAAAGATTCCACGTTAGTTTAAATATTGACTATAAACCTTCAACCCTCCAATTCTTTCAGCCTTCTAGATTGCTGCTGTTCCTAGCTACCTATAAAATTATTTTTGTCTTCTGAGTATAAGGAAATGATGCCATAAAAATAATTGGATGACTGTGGGAAGGTCTTAATTGGTGGGTCTGTCTGGTCACCCTGCCTGCTTTCATACTCCTTAGCCATAGTCCTGCTCAGGGCTCCCCACCTGGTCTGGGATTCATTGTATGCCCAAGTATGATGGCAGTGAAGTATATCCGTCTGAGACACCAGAGAAAAAGCATTTCCAGTTGTAGTTATTTAAATGGTTACTATATTTTCAATTATAAAAGTAACTCATGCTTCTTGTAGGACATGTGGAAAATATAGGAAAGAATAAACAAATGTTAAATTAACGAAACAAGGAGGCCGCTAGACTGAGGTGGCTCTAATGCCGTGGTAGCTACATCAGCAAACCAAAATCTAAGCCTGTAAATGCCTCAAGGTTATGGAATCAAAATGCTAAGGACAACCAATCACAGCCAACTAGGCTTTATGCTGCTGCCAACCTGTTTCCTTCCTTTGCTTCCACTCTTCGCTTTCTCCCTATAAGTCTTTCTCCTGGCTCCTGTTGGCTGAGCACTCCTAACCACCTCCAGTTTGGCACTGCCTGATTCTAATAGATTTTTACTCAAATAAACTCTTAAAATTTTTGATACACTTCACTTTATCTTTTAACTGAAGGGAAAACTACCTCTAGTTAGATTTTCTTAATCTTCTCTCTCTCCCTCTCCCTAAATATTTTACATAATTGACTCATACCATAAATAAGTTGATAGAAAAATGACACAAAACAATATATGTATGATAATTATTTGTTGAATAAATTATATTTTTCTCTTCAATATTTTTTATTCATCTTTTTCTATACACAGTTGAGACTAAACAATATATCTAATTTTGCATCCTAATTCTTTTGCTAGACATTATAGCATAAGTATTTCCCCATTTTATTAAAAACTAATAAACATGCCTTTAATTACTGCATAATAGTCTATCATATCAATGTTCCCTAAATTTTTTTAACCAGTGCTCTATTATTTCATATTTTTATTGTTTCCTGTTCTCAATATTATAAATAGCACTGTATACAAAAACTTTGTGCTTCAGAATATTTTCTTATGATAGTGTTCTAGAAAGGGAATCCCTGGATCAAAGATCAATGACATTGTTAAGGTTCTCAATACATTTGCCAAATTAAAGTCTTACATTTTGGTGTTTGGAGTGCTATCACAGCCAACTTGAATCATGGAGTTTTGTAGGAGTCCCTCAAGGGACTGGTGTGCAATCTTGATGGGAAGGAAGGAGCTCAGGGCATTGGATGACGGGTATTTGGATCCCTAATGCAATGAAAGTACAGACATATTCTGCTCCTTTCCACAGGTTACTCCTGGCCAAATGAATTCCTAAAATTGTCTTGTCAATTTCCTTCACTGCTGAGATCTTAATTAACCAAAGCAAGCATGTCAGATGATTTTTAAACTCATTTTTTTTTTTTTTCTGTGAGGAAGATCAGCCCTGAGCTAACATCCATGCTAATCCTCCTCTTTTTGCTGAGGAAGACTGGCTCTGAGCTAACATCTATTGCCAATCCTCCTCCTTTTTTTTCCCCAAAGCCCCAGTAGATAGTTGTATGTCATAGTTGCACATCCTTCTAGTTGCTGTATGTGGGATGCGGCCTCAGCATGGCCGGAGAAGCAGTGCGTCAGTGCGCACCCGGGATCCGAACCTGGGCCGCCAGTAGCGGAGTGTGTGCACTTAACCGCTAAGCCATGGGGCCAGCCCTAAACTCATTTTAATTTTCTGCTTGAATAAAATAATTATTTTTCATGGTTAAATAATATGAGTGCATCATAATGTATTAAATACATTAGTCTTCTATTATGCAGATTGCTTCCATTTTTCCTCTGTTAATAATGCTGCAGTGAACATCTTTTTGAATAAACCCTTGTGTTCATCTCTGATTACTTAACCAGGCTGGAGTCCTAGAAGTACAATTAATAGCCAACAGTCATGAACATTTTAAAGGCTATTTATATCACCAAATTACTTTCCTGAATGGCTGTAGAGATTTCAGAGCTGCAATGAATACTCACTTTTTTGTTTGTTTTAAAACCTGTTTTTATATAACATCACTGTGCTTACAAACACTAGGCACCATGCTGGCATTGTATCTTCTCATCATCCTCAGGACTTTAAAAAGCATGGACTATTATTATCCCAATTTTACAGACGAGGAAACAGAGGCCAGGTAATTGAAGGAAATTGTTCAGTTAAATCGGCTAGTAAATGACAAAGCAGGGACTTGAACTAAGCAATCAGGCTCTTTATGCGGCTCTCTCAACCACTGTGTGACACTGCCAGCATTAACTACTATATTCATGACTTTCACAATTTGATGGGTAAAAAAAATATTGTTAAAATTTGTATTTTGGGCTTGATGTTTTAGGTGCTGTTTGCTAATTATATTTTTTCTTCTGGAAACTGTATGTTAATATATTTGCCCATTTTCCTATTGTGGGGTATGTTATTTACAATTAGGTTCAGTCGTAAGTGATAAAAACCCCAAAACAGTAGTGACACGAACAAGAAGGAATGTCTATCTCACATAAAGAGGACTCTGAGGTAACCAGTCCAGGGCTGGAAGGACAGTGTGTCTAAACCGTCAGAGTGCCAAGTTTCCCCTTCTTGCTGCTTCACCGTTCTTGGCATATGGCTTTGACCTCTGGCCAAAACGGCCTTTCAAACAACATCACGTTCTAGCCATCAGAAAGAAAGAATAAACAGAAAAGGAAGAAACATCTTTTAAGAATATTTCCTGGGAATCACAAATGGCATCCAGTAACATCTTGAGAGGCAGACCACAGTCACATGACTATGTGCAACCACAATAGAAGTTAGAAAATTTATTTCTTTACTCTGACTGCAATCTGCCCAGGTAAATACATGGGGTGCTAACAGTAAGCAATGGATATATGGATATCAGGGAACAAACAGCACTAATTACCACAATGTGCTAATTTTTAAAACTTTATTTGTATTTTTTAACATTGTAGAAAATATCGCCCCCAGTTGTCTGCTTGTTTTTAAATTTGTTTATATTTATTTTTATAATTTAACTTTTTGTTGTAGAAATTTTCAAACCTTTTTCAAAAGTAAGAAGAATAGTATACTTTTGTAAATTCAGCCAATCTTGTTGCCTTTGTTCCTCATTTCACCCTGGATTATATACAAACGAATCCCAGACATCACAAAACCTCATCTGCAAATATTTGAGTAAGTATCTCTGAAAGGTAAAGACTCTTCTTTAGAAGTTGCCCCACCCTAAAAAATTATCAATAATTCACAAGTTCATCAAATATCAAAGCAGAGAATACATTTTCCTATTGTCTTAAAATATTTTGATTACAGTTTGATTGCCAAAATTGGGATACAAATAAATTCCATAAATTGTGATTGCTTGATATTCTCTTAAGTTTCTTTTATATAATATTTCTTGGCTTAAGTTATAAACTTTTACAGTCATATCTCTTAATCTTTTCCTTTTTTATTTTTTCCATTGTGTATTTTCTTAGAAAGTCCTTTCCCACCAAAGGCAACTTTGTTATTTCCCTATGTTTTCTTTTAGCATTTATGTCTTCTCTTTTTTTCTCTCATATTTGATTCTCTAATTCATCTGGAGCACACTTTGGTGTGAGGTGAGCCTCTGACGATATATTTTTCCACAAAATAAATGTTCCCAACACCATTTGCTGAATGGCCTATTGTTTTTCCATTGGGTTATAATGCTTACTTTCTAGTGCGTTAAAGGCTTACATATATTAGAATTTATTCCAGAACTTATTCCAGTTAATGCCAAACTCACTCTTCCGAATTTTTATTGCCTCTTTTACTTTCTTTCTTCTAAGTTAACTTAAGAATTATTTCTAAAACATTTATTTTTGAAAGAGTTGACATTTTTACATTTAGTTTCCTACAGTGAAAAAGCAATGTCTTAGTTTTCTTTTGTTTTTCTGTGAAGTTTTGTCATTTTTGCATTATGCATTGTTAAAGTCATTCCAAGTTTTTTGTTTCATTTTGTTTTGTTTTGCTTCCATTTACTGGTTGACTAGAATTACTACCCACTTATTTTGTTCTCAGTGGTTATTGATTTTTTAAAAAATATTCTGTTTGGAATATATCTACTCCATTGAATTATTCTAATAGCTTTTCAATGAATTCCCTTTGGTTTTCTACATGAAATATATTGTCTATGAATATGATAATATTCTTTCCTCTTTCCACATGTTATAGCACCTTCACTGTTTCCCATTTTATTGCACTGAAAAGAACTTTCCTAATAATGCTAAACAATAACAGTGATAATATCTATTTCTCATTTTTATTTTTACATGATCAGATTTTTTTAAATCTATCAATTTTCAAGAAGTTATGAACTGAAATTCTGTTTATTAAATATTATAACATTTAAATTTTGCTTAATAGCCTCAACTTTTATTAACAGCAATTTTTGCAAAAAATCTAATATTTAAATTATTTTTCACTGAAAAATAATATTATATTATACAATCCCCTACTCCTTCTAAATTGTTTCCTACTTTGAAATGAAATTGAGTGTCTATATTAATATGTATAAGTGTCTTTTTCAAAGCTAAATTATACATTATGAAACTTAAATATTGCAGACTTGATTCTTTTCCCCAAAAGTGAAAATTTATTTCATCACTAGTAGAATCAAGCCTTAAGCCTGTTAGGAAAGATTTCTATAGCATCCTGATTTCAAAGAAATACGTTCTCAACATTGAATATTTACTATTATTGTAAGCCTCAGTGGAAAATCAAAAGTATTCCAAACTTAAAAAAAGGCAAAAAGAACAAAAATCCATAGGTACATGAATTACCCAGAATGCTATCT